ATGGAAAGTCTCGCGACTACTTTAGGTTTATGCGCCAAATAGAAACGTTTATAGAACCAAGAATAAAAGATGACCAAGCTCGTTTATTGTATTTAATTCACTATTGTAAAGGAAGGGCAAAAAATGCGATTGAAGGTTGCATTATAATGGATCCACAAGCGGGATATAAGAGAGCTAAGGCCATCTTAAAACAGCTCTTTGGACAATCGCATGTAATAGCCCGGGAAACCTTAGAGGACTTATTTAGAACCGGGAATGCGGATTTTAATGAACCTGAACTATTGACGAATTTGGCTATTAAAATGCAGAATGTGGCTTTAACCTTAGAACAGCTAAATTGTACAACGGAACTTCATTCCCTGGTTACTTTAGAACGAATAGTCAGGCTCTTACCTCGTCGAATGCAAGCCCAGTGGGCAGAGCTGGGAATCAAGTGGGACGAAGAGGAGAGAAAGCCTAATTTCAATGAGTTGACGGAATTTATTATGTCTCGTGCTAAGATAGCTAGTAGTAGGTTCGGAAGATTAGCTAATCGGGCTTAAACAGGACATAATACGGAAGCTATTAGTGGTCTGCGTGCGAGACATGAGGATTTTTCGTTTCTACCCAACGCACGCTCGGAATATAAGAGAGTTGTCAATTATATCACGAAGGTATACGCTGTTGAAGGACGAGTATGTGACCGTGAGGATGTAAAACCTCTTGATGCGTATTCCAGTAAGAAGCCGGTTTGTGTAACAGATAAGATGGCTTTTTTAAGTATGGAAAAGAAAGAAAAAGGTGAAAAGTGTAGGCATCAAGATGGATCCGAAGTGTGTGATGATAAAAGCCTCTTAACTGCTCGAAAAGCCTGGAACGGTTATTTGGATTCGAGTAAACAGAGGTTAATGAGTTCAGTAAATATGAATAAGGCCAAGGCAGGATTGTCTGGACGGAATAAAGCCTATGTTCGGAACCCTTCACTTAGGGTAGATTATATAACGGGACCTAGAGTAGATTCCAGGATAAGTGATGGTGGTACTGTAAGGGCTAAGAAGCCTAGGAAACAACATGATGCTACTATTATTAAGAAGCCTAAACATCATTCTCTTTCGGATGCTATGACTAGCAATGGAAATAGTAGTCATCAGAATCTTAGTAGTGACAGCGATAGTAAGGAGACAGAAAGTGTGAGCAGTCCACTTAAAGCGATTAGTCGATCAACTTCATCGAACGAGCTTTCTAGTGTTTCGACGTCATCGGACCTTGTCACGAATGTTAAGTTGATTGAGGATACACAAGGTTGTGTAACTGTAAGTATTACTACTTCGGTTGACTGTCAGTCAAGTGATGATGAGAAGGAAGCGTCTGATGGTAACAGTCAGTTTACAGTGTTGCATGATAACGATGCTATTGATGTGCATATGTCGTGTGTCTCTGAAACGGAACATGAAGAACAACAAGTGAGTTTATCGGCTTTGGATTGTGACACTAATGCTGTTCTTTCATGTAGCGAGATGAGTTATACCACAATGGAAGAGTTTCACTCTACGGATGCTAGTGCAGCCAGAAACGACGCGACTTGTCTGACAGAACGGAATCATGATGACGATGATAATAATCTGGATGTCACTGATGTGACAAATAAGTTGCCGACGATGACGAATGCTGATCAAACCTCCTCTGTATCAGGAGATGGAGAGTCTTCGAGAGACGAGGAAATATCAAAATAGGAGATCCCACCCTTGCATATTATCTATGGGTCAAGAACTTCTGTTGATAAGTCAGCATCACTGACTTCATTGTATCTGCCCATCGGAGCAAGTGGTGGTGGATTGACGACTCATCCCCATGATATGGAATGTAGTTCCCGGATAGGATAAGACCAGCTTTTCGACGTGTTGTACATGTTCGTGTGGGTTATTTGGGTAAGGTTTATACTACCGTTAGGTCATGCTACGATAGATAGGGGAATCAAGGGCCTGATGGGAAGGTATAGGTACCTAGTTAGCTTGATAGGTCATATCCATGTTAGAGGGCGGGTAGGCGTACTGCTGTAAGTCCTACACGTTATTCCGGTGTGGATTAGGGGATGAGTGGGAACCCTAAATTGAAGTGTCATTAACGCTTGCTCTTTTTTGCATGGAGGGATTTTGCGGGCCGGTGTAGAATCCTTTTTGAATGTTTTGCTTTTGGAAAATCCCTCCATGTTTACATATGTTTGTTATGACATGACGGACTCTTTCTGTTGACATTTTTGGTATTTTATTTGATTCCAATTTGAGAATTTATCATTGTATATTGTTATTATTTCTATATTTTGTACTTATATTGAAGCATTTATGTTTGCTTCTGAACTGTACATATGTTGTTTAAATTTGATCTTTAATATGGCTACAGCCATATTTGGATTGATACAGTGGCGGTTGGACTTAACGTCACTTATTCATCTTTGTCTTGGATACTCTTCGGAGTAATTGTAACCTGGAAGGTGCATTCTTTATCATTTATCATGGCACTAATGTGATTTGTCGGCAGTAGAGGTTATCCAAAGGAGATTTATAGTGATAATGGATCAAATTTTGTGGGAGCTGAACGTGAATTAAGAAAATGTCTTCAAGGTTGGGTACAGGAACGTATACACTCTGATTTACCAAGAAAAGGAATTGAGGGATCGCGAGATTGTCGGCATATTGAATGTTTGTTGTTGATTGCTTATGATGCACATACTTGGATTGTTGTTACCTATTTTTGTCGGTGAAAAGAACCAAGGTTATTTTGGTCGGTAGTGTTACGGGACAAATGAAGACATTTGGCTGATTAAAACCTTTACATAAATATCATTAATTTCACTGTGTTTTTCGGGTATATTTGTTTTACTTAACTTATGAACTTGTTTGATTTATTATTTTCGGACATTTTGGTTTCTGTTTGTCTTGGTTTGGTAATTGGGTGTGTTTGCTCCAGGAACCTATGAAATTGAAGGTTTTTGTAGTTATTATAATTATTGTTGTTAGAAAGACATTTTGGTCGACTATTGCGAATAGACTTTGGTACCTAACCTTGGAGTTTGGTTTTGTTTTTAATTTGGGTTCGTGAATTGCAAATAGATCGACATACTGTACTTCAATAACGGGAAGGAGCAAAACTTGGACGTAACAATAGGTGGCACCATATTTCTCACAAATGAGTACATAGACGCACGTGGATATCTTCAGGTTACATTACAGAGAATATCGACCTCATCTACTTCAGTAAAAGGTTCACAAATTCGATGAATTAAGCAAGAGCAAAGAGGGGAGTTGATAATGAATGATTGGGATCACCAGTTGAGTATGTCCAAGGTCAAACCGAGGCTAAATGCACCCTGAAAAACCAGAGTAACATCATTCTCTCAGTTCTAAACATCGGGGTTTGTAAGGGCAACCAGCAAAGTTATTTGTGTCTATATTTTGCTTTAGATTTGCAAACATGAGGCTCGCTCGATTAACCGAAAATTTACTGAAAACACTAATTTCATAATAATACTATGATATACGAATTTATGCAGTTTACATTCTACATGCTTATTTTTAATCATTCGAAATATATCGTTATTAACAGCGTAGACTGAGCAGTGTTGATATGAAAGTATTTGAGAAACTGTATTCCAGACATTTTAGTATGAAACAATGCTGTGTGAGGACGGTAATTCATTTGGACTGTACTCGTAGAAATTGATAGCTCCATGAATGATCGGTTACTCAGTCTTTAAGTACTTGAAAGAAATACACACAATCAGGCTTATAGTATCTGGAACCTCATAGTTACATGTGAGTTATCGCCAAGGGAATATATCAATGATGGGATAAATGGTAAGGTCAAACAAACTTACTTGTTCATGATCAGAGTGGCGTATTAAAACAGTGATCTACTACAACCACATTGCAGAGGAACTGATCTATCGCGTTTAGGCCGGCCAAATACTCAGATGAGTAGATTAGAAGGAATCAAAAAGTCTCTTCAGATGGCGGCAGCGGTCAAGCATCTCTGAGCACATCCCACGATAAAGGCTCTTCTTTTCGTAAACAGCCTTGTAATATATCTTTGGTTACTTATAAATCAACAGGTTTTCGCAAGGTTAACATTCTTCCTGCTTACTAGTCCTTATGATGAAACTTTTAGGATTTGTGAATATCTGAATTGTTTATTCTTTCACATTCGGATATCTTCAACACCTCGAAGCAGTGAGACCTTAACTTTGAAAAGACCCAAATCAAATCGCTGTCTGTGATTTCATTAGTGGAAATATGCAAATAACCTTTTGTTTCGATTAAGATAATGACTGTTCAGTATCTAATATGTATAATATATTAACTGACATGTTTAGGAAATACCTGAATTATTCATCCATCTATAAGATCTACTATATCGATTTCAACATGCAGTATCGAACGCGAGTGCCAAAATCTATGTCTACTTACAATAACTTATAAGACAATGACGAAAAAAGGAGAGCTAAGATTAATTACTGTTCACTTGCGTAAGAGAGGTAGTAAATAGCAAATGGCAGGTTATAGTCAAGGGCAAACTATCTTTTGAGATTTACAGGATAATTTTTGAACTGATATTGACGATACTAGGTGTCGGTTGGACCAAATTAACTGGGATTACACAGCAGGAGTAAATGTTTTTTGAACTTTTGTAGAAACCTATACCAGTATAAATGGCTCTACATTGTTTTAAACTAAAATATAATATATTTACTTCCCGTTTTACTAGCTATTAAAATGATGAAACTGCCTGAAAGTATCCATTATCTCTAGTTGTATTTGACGTACGCGCATGATAGTCGTAATTGGATGATAATATTATGGCCTTATCAAAGAAATTAAACTATTTTAAATGTTTAATTTGACCATTAGTAAAGCTTAGAAATGATTATATTGCCTTTGTTATTGAGCCAACAGGATGTTTGTTTTTATAGCTCACAGGTGGTGTCAGCATTTTTGACTGTTGTTATATGCTTTCAATTTCTGAGGATGATAAATGTTTATAACAAAACCCCCAGTTACCGCATGTCTTTTCGTGCTGCTGAATTTTATTCACTTTTGTCAGCTTATGATGAAACAGTTAGCAGAAACCTTGGAATATCTCACAGTAGTCAAGATGACGTAAAAAAATCATCTGCCTTTCAAGGAAAGGGAAAGAGCCCTAAAAAGGTAGGTTATGAACTGACAACTTATTACAATTCCATAAAAATTATAACAGCATGAGGTCTGATTGTACAACAATAACATGTCTCTTCCAATGCAGTAATTCTGCGAAATAATAAATCCAAATGCTTAACATCATCATATGAGGTCCTGTTTTCTGTATAATAGTTTCAGTCATGTTAATTTTGGTGCGAATACATTTCAGAATAACTTTTACAGTTAATTTATTGATTATCTGATCTCAGGTTATAAGTTCACTGTTTTTCAAATCTAAAAATTACATGATGACTTTTTTTATCACATAGAATTTTTATTAACTTTGATAAACAGGAATCTTTGATACCAGTATGCATCGTTATAAATATTGGATTAACATACTATATTGCTTTTTACGTGTTGTAAATGCATCTGATAATCTTCAAACAGCAGCTTATAGTAGATCAAACGAAGTTAGTCGTAATTTGATATAACAAAAATACTGGAAATACAGATCACTTGTTGACATTAAAGAAGGTGTAAAGTTAGTGATTACCAATTTATGTGCAGAAATTTGATGCGTGTTTGAGTATCCAAATGCACAAAATGCATGTCCCTGTCAGTAATTCCGAACATAGTATTGCACAAAAAATCTTATCCATGTATTAGTGTTTACCACTTGTAAAACGGTTAAAAATGTAAATATATATAATATTCACTACTTTAAGAAGTGAAATTTTTCGGTCTACTGTTTATTTTATTTGTTGGGTCAATGTTATATAATGAAATTAAGTTGAATGTTTCCCGTTTATATCTGGAACTAATTTTACAATGCTCACTATTAGGAAAATAAAGTTTTTGTCACTAGAATAATGTCAGATTTGATCACTCACTAAGCATGAGCGTTGTTTTAAATAATCTTGCGGTATCCCATATGATAGACGTATCAGAAACGTGATGAAAGTAATTCTGTGCAAATTTCATTTATAAAAAAATAAAATTTTGAATCTTAAGTTCCAGATTAAGAGATTCACTTATTGACAAAAAATAACAGGCGCATGATACCTATTAGAAGCTATGCATAAAGTTCAACCAAAAATTACGTGAATCAATGAAAGTTCTCGGTTAATATAAAACTTTTTACCGTCACCTACTGGGTTTACACAGAAAAATATATTCGAAAAGCTTGTATTTACAGATTAAAAGCCTCGTAAACTGGCAGAAATACCAGTTAGTAAACACATTATTCCATTCAGAAGAAATAATGTTTTCATAAAGTTGGTGATGACATAATTTTTTGATAATTTACTGATCAGATTCAACTCACACTACTCAAATCATTACATGTATCTGCGCTTATCAGAATACAATTCGTTTTAAAAAGCTATTGAATTCTGAACGCATAAAACGAGTATTTTTCTCTAGCCAGACGTTGGCAGTTCTAAAAAGTGGAAAGCAGATTACTTTTATCGACTAACAGACCGATGGACAATTCAGATTTTTTTACTGTGTTCATACAGCTTGATTCTCATCCCCTCTTAAGATATGCTGAAATCTTTATATCAATGTTTTGCTTCTCCTTTACAAATGAGCCATGACTCATATGTCTTAGAATAGTTCTGGCACTTTTTAAAAAGCTATAACAGTCAGTCTTCATGAATGTCTCAAGCACGTCTGATCAACGAAAAAGAGCTTTTTTGATGTGGATATCATGTACAATAGTAGTTGCAAAAACTTTCTCACTTATTGCAAATGAGTTTCACAATACCGCAATAATAATTCCTAGTTTATCGAATATATATTCTAGTTTTTCTAGCCCTAAAAGAATAAATAGTCACGGAGTTAAGCCAGTCTACAACACTAAATTTAAATGTTTTCGGAATTTATAAGACTTAATTCGTAATTCTGATACTAGTATCATAGATTCTTCCTCAGGAACTTGTAAAGTTAGTAGATAAAATGCAAACTATAAAGAACTTATTATGTTGTTCCTGAAATTATAAGTGACATTCATCTGTTAACTTTTTTTTCAGAACAAGGATGAAGGATCTTTCTCAAAAGAAATCAACAATTTCGACTATTATAAACCTAAAACACTTCAGCCTTCATCGATAAACAGTGATGTAAAGGAATCTTCGAAACCTAATCATATAATTCTTAATGATCTTGGTCAACAAAGTATAGGCGGATTTAGTTATTCACTCCCACAAGCATTAGAAAAAATTGGTTCCGATATACATAATCAAAAACTTTTGGCGGATTTGCAGACAAATAACAATCTAAATATGAATAACGGCTCTCCAAAGGTTTCAAAGAAACATTTATTGAAAAAATCAGACAATTTGCAAAGTAAAAGGGGGTCTAATGTGCTAGTCAGACAAGTAGACGCAGCGGTTGAAGCGATGACTATTGGTTTGCCTAATTGTCGAGCTCTACCATCTGTGCAGAAAACACCTAGAACAATACGTGCAAGGATATTTTTCAATCAAATAAAAACTGGGTTGAAGTAAGTAGCCACCACATATGAACTAGGCTTACATCACCTTCACTACTAGCTTATGTTTAGAAATTTACAAAAAGTTGGCATTTTGCTAAGATCAACTGGGTTACAAAATAATTAATGTGTTTCTTAATATGTAATACTATTAAAAAGTAGTTATTAGCGTTGACGAGGGCTTATTTGTTGGCAAAAGCCTACTTAAAATTCGTTTAACTAAAGAATTACTGAGAACCGCGATGCTCTACAATCTATATCGTCCGCTGCTGAAATTACTTACTTATCAACATCACCAGCTGAAACCTTATATATCTTGTTCCCAGCGTATCGTCAGTAACTTACAAGTTCAGAAGCTAATTGGTGAGATTTTTTATTTTATTCACGCTGTGATATGCCCAACAGGATGCTGTTCCTTTCAGTTGAGTTAAATCGAAAGCAACAATATTTTAAAACACATGTCACTATGTAGTGTATAAGGAATATGGTATAATAATGAGCTGGCTCCAAAAATTATATATATCAAGTCAGTTGCCGTTGAGACAAATGATTTCCCTTAAAAATTCCCTGTAAATGCTTTACATACACATATACACAAATAGTGAAATGATTTGGACGGCTTTTACCGATGATATTACTTGCAAAAAATGCAACAAGGTCACTGTTTTGCTTATTACATGTACTTTTTTCACCTGTCAATAAATTTGGCTAATAATATTTACTGTTTTGGAAGTCATAAGCTTCGTTTTTAAAACATATCGCGGTGAATTTACATTTTTATATCAAATATTTGTTAAACGCATACTCGTGAATTCGCTAACCAGACGGCTTTGTAATTGATGTTAATCCTTGAGTTATAAGGAGTCTTTTCCTTGAGATTTAAATTGTTGTCATTTTTAACCGTGTATACAGATTATAAAAAAGCCATAGAGGAATTTGAAGAATTACTGTGGAGTTAGATGGTGTAAACGAAATGATAATCGAGCCCTAACCCAATTTTTCGATTTTTTACTAGTTACACATTAATATCTGATGCAAATGAGATCGATGGCATGATATGATTAGTAATTTAGTGGTAATATTTTTACCTGATAAAAAAACCTTGCGCTGGAAAAATTTTAAAGATTACTGTTTAAACTCCAGTGACAATGTTGTACTTCAAAGTGGTATCGTATCTAATCATGCATTTTATCCGTATCACATGACTATTAATATCTTCGTGTAAATATTAAATCAAAATAACTCTTGAATCATATCCTATCAAATGTTGTGTTCCCTCAAAAGTCTTAATATTTCTTCGATTGTATTTCATTCTGGGTATGCCCTTAGTTTGGGGTCGATGCTTTGGCAAATTTCAAAACATATACCATTACTTCTAAGCAATATTTTAGGAAAATGTTTTGACCAATTTTCATTATAAAATATCAACTCACTGGCCCTTTTAACCAAGATGTTAGCCTTATTTTGGCGCAGAACTGGTTTGATGCTCTCTTTTTATTAGTCTCTGATTGTCCAAAAAAGTAGTTTTGTAGATTTCACCAGAGGCATTACGATCATTCGCTACTACTTGTAAGTTAAAGTTTATGCCTCTACCGTTGTCGTTATACATGTTTTCGGAAAACGTAAAAAGTAAATCGAGGATGAACAAGCTTCTGAACAAACTGAAGAAGTACGAGGAAACTTTTTACACTAACCTATTTAATCAACTTTAAAATACAGTAGATAAAAGCCATGATATAAACCAGTTTATCAGTCCAACAAGGTGAGATATATGTTTAAATGGTAGCAAAATCCTTATTAAACGTAACATAATGCACACTCTCATCTACACAAAATACCATAATTTTCCCACTTTAATTCTAATAATTCCTCCTACAAAGAGATAAACCTTAATGATATTCTTCTTTATTTGCTGTGAACCTGCTGTAACTAAACTGTACTGTTCAGAAAACGCATCATTGTCAAGGTAAAAACTTGTCTGCAGCGGTCACATTCACAGAGTGACTGACTGTAGTGGAAAACTTTCGGTATATTGAAATTCAGCTGTAATGTTTTATAATTAGGATCTGATCATAACCACACAACTAAGCATGATGAATTGTAATCTTGTGATCATAAATCATAAACTTCAAATCTGGTTAATACCTTGAGCTATTTTCTCCCTGATACATCATACTGAAAACGTTTTATTACGTCAGTAGGTGTCAATTTCTGGGTTGCATACAGAGTATTTTACATTTGAACCACATAAACCATTTGATTGTGACGATGATCCACATTTGCACTACATGTACATACATGTACATATATGCTCCATGAACCTTCTGTGACATTTAACTAATGGATAAAACAATGCATTTGCAGTATTCTTCATTAATTTTTGGTGTACATAGTTACTCCAAGGAAAGTTGCACTCAATGCCTTCTTGGGGAAATTGAGAGAATAAAAATCAAATATCTGGCGGAGCTTAAACCGGCTTGATAGCTACGGAGGACCCACCTAGGAGAGTTGGTAAACCATGATGCCAAACTAAAGCTGTACACAAACCTCAGGATCCTGGTAGAACAAATGGTGTATAAACATATTTTTGGCTATCAGATACCATGTGATTGCATTTCCTAACGTTGCTCCATTGCCTTGTATACTAGACCTCTACCTAAAAGGCTCGAAGAGTGATCTAACTAAATCGTCTGCTTCGGTTTCATTACCCAGGCAGTATACCAATCCACACACAAATCCATTGTTTTTTTGTGGTGCATAAATATTTAGGACCCTTTTTGTAGCCATAATTATGTTTTTGGATCTAAATAATTTATCAGAGTGAAGTAAGTTGCTTTATGTCAGAGTTCAAACTAACGGAAAATTTTTATGTCATCAAACTTTATTTAGCTTAATGTAGACGTTTTCAAGATCATTTCTGATACCCGAACCAAAAATTACAATCCAGTCTGTTATATTTATGAGGATGAATGAATTATTTAGTCTAGGTTATCTTTTTCACCGAAGTAGAAATGAGTAAATAACTTCCAGGCTTTCATAAATGTCAAATTCCATGCCGTTAATGTTCACTACATCTGGCGTTATAATTATTAATCTTGATTACTTAAAAAATGTTACCGATTGATTTCTTGGAATGTGATGCTTTTTACAGTATGGCGTATACAAAGGTGGACAGTAGGTAATATTTCGATTTTATTCAGGAGAATAGTTTCAAATATCCCTTCTAATAATTTTCGTAATATAAACAATGCTAGTTTTCCGTTTTAGGGAACATATTGAGTGGCACACTACGCAGTTACAACAGGCAGAATTAGATCAAGATGTATTGTCAGCCAATAAGGTGAGTGGCTGTTATAAATCTTTTGTTGATAAATGTAAAATAGTGAAATGTTGGTGAAATAATGGTCACTTGGTGAATCTGTCACTTACTTGCTACTACATGTCTTTCTATGTTTAGAAAAACTTAGTAAAATACCTCATAGTGGTTGTTGTGATAATGTATTTCGATGAATAAAATCTAATAACAGAATATACTTGGTTTATTGTAATGATCTGATGATGAAATATGAGGATCGTTATACATAAATAGACGGTTAAAAAGTCTAGCTATATTGATAAATAATGTGAGAATTTTATCGTTATTCCAAATGTAAATTATAGCCAAGTCGACACTAGCCAAAACATACTATACATTTATTTTACAACATTAGTTAATGCAACTATTGACTGTGGCTTTAATCAAGTAAGAAACGAATTTTATACGAAACTATTTTTAAAATAATCATAAACAAAACTATGTGACTTGAGGTTTGGGAGACTGCAGAAATTTGATTGATAGTAAAAGTCTTCCGAATGTAAAGGAACTGGTGTTCGTAAAAATTAATATGACAGGCCAGTTCCAATTAAGGTTTTGATCATTCGAAACATCAATAAGATAGACCATTAGTGCACTCTCAGAACATACTGCTGGAACCATATCCTGAACTTAGCATTCCGCTTTTATTCTCTAGAAAGTGTTCAACTTCCTACATCGAGTTCTTTTATTATTATTGGAATAATTACTGACTGTGCTAAACTTTTAGAATGCCGATATAATCAAACCCCATAGAAAAATTAATATAATTCTATACGCTTAGAAGTAGCCTAAAGTCATGGTACTAAGCTCACTTTTGTCTATATTATTGAATCATGCCCATGTTTTTAAAAATAAGAAATGACAGTATTAACAAAAGTAGTATTGCTAATCGAAATCTGATCTATTCTTCAAATTATTGTTACTTCTTTACTTGAGAGGTAGATTCACAGCTGGTTATGCTTACCTGGATATAAAAACCTGATGAGCATTTTTGGCTTTTATTATATGTGGTGGTAGTGAGATAACTAGTCGACTGACTAGCATGAACTACAAAGACCAAGAGTTAACTGGGTCGTTGTATAGTCAGTGATGACACAATGCATGTATTTTACCTTTTTAATACTGCAAGATATTTGAAGAATTGAAAATGATGTAACAGTTATTAATTTAAGTGCCAAAATCCTGTCCAAATAAATGATTAATTCAAATTTCTAAACGTTACTCCTTTGCATAGAGTCAAGTGGGACGGTATTTCGTATGTATGAATCATGCCTCAGCTAATCCAGTTGATGACATCAGCCGGTCACCTCCCTTTACTCGTGGCCTCAATATTACTCACTATAAGAGACTAGTGCTTACATAGTAGTTAGGAGTGCACATCCACAACTTATTGATGTTATTCATCTTTAAAAGACATGATTAGCAACTCAGTAGAGAATACTGAATAAACTGGTGTCTAATCTACTAGACTGTTAAGTCAAGTTTCACAGGTTACTCTGATTGTCAGCAGTTAAGGGAAAATTTCACATGTGGGCAGAAATTTCATCAGACACAGATTCATTATGGATGATGTGGCTACTTAGGCTAGTAAAAATATTGGTGTGCTCAATATGTTATCTAATTTATTCAAATCAGACTAGGCACAATAGGACTGATAGGAATATATAAGTGAGGGGTTGAATAAATATATTGCTATAAGTTTTCCAAAGCACTAAAGTATCTTTATTGATTCAGTTTTAAGGGATCCTCACAAATGATCAAAATAAAAGTTTGTATAGTCTTACAGGCTTCTACAATATCATCATCTACATTCCAGTGTATGTATGAAAAGTAGTCAAATGATAACATCATTGGAATTTACTTTATGCTAGTATAAAAGGAGGCTTTTTTTTTCTTAAAGCATTAATCTGAAAAACAAAATTTCAAATTTCAAACTATTTATTTAAATCGTATAAATTATTTGATTAATTCTCTTTTTTTTCTTCAATGTTCTACCTTTTCCAAATACAAAAGATGAATAAATACTGACTAGCGTAATGTAATAATAAATGTCTTTTATTACTTTTAAAAAAAATAATAAATAAAATATTTTGTTAAATTTAGTATATTACATTTATATATATATATGTTTATATGTGAACTGACAGAACAAAGAACATAATACATAAATCTAATTGAACACTTACAGTAAATAGTAATCATAAATTAATTTTCTGAATAAATGCCTATTGATAATAAGTGACTCATTGACAGTTTCTTATTTTAACTGAAATCAATGATTTGTAATTTTGCATAGGTAGAACAAATATTTTTTTTTAATACATATCAGTGTGAATCTATGTTGAAAATAGATACCTACGCATATTGACAAGTACAGCATACACCAAAGACGATGAAGATTTTAAAATCTGTATATATATATGTTAATCATAAATACTATTACTATTATAGAATCATTTTTCCTGAGAGAATCAGTTCGTTTTGTTTTTTCTCAAAATTTAATTGTTTCAAAAGAATGATATAATTAAATGGTAAAGTAAAATAGAAATAACCAACGTTACCTTGAAAAGAAAATTATTTTCAAAAAGATCACTTTTTTTTCTTGGTTCTCGTCTATGACATCTGAATTACTTATATTATTCTCACTTATAGTTTTAATATACTGTATGCCTTTCATAAACTATTCTTCAAATATTTTCAGGCATTAGAAAATGTCAATCAGTTACAACACAGGTTGAATACAGTAAGTTACGTCATATTTTTTTTCTTTATTTTTCTGTTGTATCTTTTGAAAATTTTATTCACTAACAAAGATACTCAGTAAAACTAATCTAAATATAAAAACATCTTTACTAGTAATAAAACTGATAAAACTAACTCACTGACCTGGTCACTGCATTGAAGAGTATTGATGTGTACAATTCAATGACCTACTTTAAAATGTTAAACGTTAAATAGTTGTAAATATAGAAATATAGTAGATAAATTAATTTGTTCATATTCGACTTTGAAAGCTTTATGATGCCATGAACTGTTGGCTTTAAGTCTTCTTCTGTTTAGTGTGTATCAGTCATATTAATGTATTAACATATATTTTTCTTTTTTTTTCTAACTTTTTAATATTTTCATTAATTTATATTTCTGTTCATTTAAACCACCTGTTTCTCTGAGTATATTCCATTACTGTTGATTACTATCCTTACTACTTTGTAGTAGTACTGTGTATAACAGATCGGACTACGATAGTCGATCAAATATGACTGTATGTTTTATTTATGAAGTCTACAGAATAGTGCTGAGCATGGTTTTATACGCATAAAATAGAGTTATTAATGAAGTTGGAATATTTAACTAATTGTGAGAGTGAAAGAAAATGCTAAGACTAAGTTTAACATTAAAAAATCAATATATGAGTTATGTTAAGTATCAACATGACTACTATATCAAGTTACATTTTAATATAACCAATCCATATTTGAGTCTGCAGAAGACCACACGTATGATTGAAGTTTGTACATGTATTCAGTGATAAAATAAGGTTATGAAAATCTTAACAACTGAATTCAACAGGCTAAAGATGAAATATTGACATCTGAGACTAAAGGTCACATTTTTAGTCCCATATATGGTTGCAGTTATGTATTACTGAGTAATTCTATAACAGAAAAAAAACATCTTAGTGATGCTAATTATTAGTGGTTATTAAAATAAATAAATTAATAAATAAAGATCGTTCATGAAGTAAGTTATCGTCAAATTGAACAGTTTTCACAAACGTCTCAGGTTAAAAATAAGGTTTGTTTAATTTTCCTACCATATGATACTCGACTTATTCATAGTATCTTAAGCATAGATTTAGATTTAGTTGCAAATAGCATTAGAAAATATAAGGCATGTTTATTATGAATTTTTTAATTTTTTTTTCAACTACAGTTCACCCAGTAATCAATCAGTCAATCATCTTAACACAGCAACATTTATACTTGATTTCCATCTGAATATGAATTTTTTGCCTTTTTTTCTCTCACTTTTTGATACCTAACTTTTACTCAAACTGTGACATAACTATTATTTTGTTAAATTGTATTTACGATACTATTGTGAATGAAACCAATCCATATATATATATATATATATATATATATATATATATATATATATATACAATACAAAACAGTAAATATATCAAATTCTTAAAAATGTATTTCGAAATTTATAATAATATTAACACATAGATAAAGTATTATATAAAATTAACATTCCTTTCTATGTATCAAATATTGATGTGTAGAGATATTGACATCTATTTGGTATTAGTAGTTTGTACAAGTTAACTTTTAAGAAGTAAAACTACTGAATAATTGTACATTGAATTATTGATAAACTACCTAATTGACTTATCTTTCAAATGACAAAAAGAATTACTCCGATATTACACCAATATTGTATACTAATCAGGTGTGATTACTGAAAAGATCAAGATTCTATATTTATGAAATATTCATTGTTTGTGTAACATATAGCATTCACAAGTGCTACAGTATAGGGCTTTATATTTATCTGAAATTTGTTAAGTTCAATGTTTGGATTTAGCCCTTGTTTCCTATTTTCATTGAATTTGTACATGAAATGATATAGGTCATGAACTGTACAAGCTAGTGTCCATATTACTAATTGATTGAAACATTTTGGTCAATACTAAAAACTAAGTGAACATAAAATTAGTTAAAACTGATTGATTAATAATCGTTGTACAGTTTCCAGTTACTTGCCTGGATAATGTTATTTACGTCAAAGATCTTAATAATCAGTTTGCCTAAGCATGGTATATATACTTTTTCCTGAAAAAAGAAATATGAATGGTTGTATGAAACTACATGAATTCAGGTTACAATAACTGTATACATGATTCATCTTATCAGCATGAGTAACGAGTCATTCAACATTGATTTGGAGATGTAGAATGAATGTTTCTTTACCTTATAGGTTGAATTCGAATCAAACTGTTCGATATTATTTTTCTCGGAGTACTAAAAACTTTACATTTTCAAAAGTAATGTTACTAGAAAAAACTCTATGAGTTTATTATTTCATAAGTTAAGTCATAGTTATTCAAATGATACATATTGGATTGCCTATGATAGCATAAATAACATCTTGATCAAAATAGAGTTAATAAAGATTGATTTAATATAACAATATACATTTCATTGTTTAAATACACTTAAAACAGAGCAATAAGACGATTTTAAGAATGAAAAAGGGTACTATTTTACAATATTCTAATTATTTATTATTTTTTCTAATTGTCAGTCATTAAATCAAATAATAAAACGAATCACTTCTAACCACTGAATGACAGAATTAGCTAGTGAGTGTCATATTGCCGTGAAAAAAATTCCAATTTCAAATTGTATTTCACACTTTGTAAAATAGCTACTATTGATATCAATAAAATATCCACTGAACTATGGTAAATGATACATGTTTGTTTTGCAATATGCACAAAATATGTGTGAATGTTAAAAAAAACTTAATGCATTACAGAATTGAGATAATTAATTATTTGGAAGAATCGTTGAATATAATCGACCGGTAAAAAGAAAACTATACATAATATACACATATATACATTGTGTATTGTACATTTAATAAGAATTATATAATTATCAATAATTATTCGGAAACTATCGATCCTTTATGATATTAACCTGCCCTGTTCCGAAATCAACTTTAATTGTATGATTTTATGATATTTAATTCATTTATGAAGACAGTTATATTTTAAAATGTTTAAATCAAAAGTACAGCGTCAATATTGATGATAACCAGTAATGAAGTCATAATTAATATTTACATATATTCTATACTATACAAATTTAAAAAAACTTAAGTACTTTTACAAGGAAATAATCAACCGATCTAATTGTGCACCAACATTCAATTAATTATTGATTTTTAGATGAGAATCAAACTGCATAAACAGTAGACCAAAGACTATTGAATCAATTAATTGAATCCGTTAATTTTATTCATTTTTTTTATTTAGGTCAGACTGTAACAGAGTATTGATCATTTGAATTTATTTTCTTTTTTCTTACTGTTTTCGAATGTTTACTCTTTGTATCTGAGATGACCTTGAGCATCACCTCGGATACCGTCTTGTGACTATTTACTGTGTATCATACAGTTTATTATAGAAAAGGTCATTGAAGTCCTCAATAACTTTATAGTACAACTATCATTGACATCGGTTTAAATTAACGAAAGTGTTCGATTTCATGAAATAGTAGGTATGCTATTTGATTTACGTCATACAATAAGTTTTACCGATTATTTTTAAAAACTAAACATTAGTTAGTAATATCAATGAATGCGTAGGTTTATGAAATAAATAAATAAAATATCGTCGTACTTTATTTCCATAGCACATTACAAAGCTTCTACTTACTGCTAATAATAATTTTTAAAATAGATTCAATCCAAGTGAAAGTTATAATTTAAAATGTGATTTAAAAATGATTTAAAATGTCATAAAACTGTTTGACTAAAGAATCTGAAGTTTTTCCTTGTGTGGTTTGTATTATTGATTCTTAAAAAATCATATCAATTTCATATTCCTGAAAGTTCGATCAAAATCTGATAAATTATGTTATTACGGTAATCATATTCAATGATGCCGTCAACTTAATGAACCTGAATTATGCTGTAAGCATGAAATGAAATTGATAAAAGACACAATTGCATTTGAAAGAATAAATAATCTGATAATCGAGTCATAACAGATTTCAATACTAAATTATAGATTTCTTAAAATGTGAATGCTAATTTTGTCGTTCAGACAAATACTTGAAGTAATTAGTGTTCCTGCATTGATAAAAATTTGACAGCCTATTTAATTCTATTAATTGCTTCTCTTGTAAAAAAGTAGTGAACCATTCTCCTTTGAGTTCATCTTTATTGTCATTTTGAAGATTCACTTAAGCACTGATTTGTTGAAGTATAGATTTCGTAACTAACAACGATCGCGGATTCTAAGTTTCGTGTCGACAACACAAAATTCACGATGGAGAAGTAGTTAAATAACAAACTATCATTCTTGGATGTAGTGATCACCACACCAGACAAAAGAAAACTGGAAGCCAAACCACAGGAATTAAATACTCGACTACAGTAGCAACAACCCAAGAACTCATTGAATTAACTATTCAATAACTTTATTCAACAGAATGCGAACATACTGCAGCACACATGTAGCTCGCAAGCAGATCATAATCATCCACCTGAGCTATGAATATCCTCCATTTCGCAATAAGTATACTCTGGTCAAAAATCTGTCGGAACGGATCCTTTTTTTATCTCATGAATTGCTAGAAACCTATAACAGAAAAGACTGGAGTTTAGATCAAGTTTAAAACATGTAGTTTTGTAATCGGTGACTTTAGGGCCTGAATCAATCAACAAAACAATAAAACACTTAGCCTACATTTATCTACTTTTACCCTTTGAGTTAGGAAATCTGCTTGCAAAAATTCAAGGTTTTTTACGTTTAAACAACGACTTGTCGACTTTACCACAATTATCTCGTTCACCATCTTAGATAATTATAAAAAAAGTATTGTTCAGTTTTCTAATAAATCATTTTAAATTACACTTGAATAAAATAACATCCATACAATTTAGTGTTTACACACTCACATACAAACATGGTGTAAATAAATAAAGATATTTTTAGAACTGATGTGTTCATAAGAAAATACTTTATGATGAAACATGCTGCATTATTGATCGGAAAGTTCAATCACCACTAGCTAATCGTATCTTATTTCATTGATACTTGAATGAATAAAATCATTAAAAAAATCAGACGTTAGATTTTTTGGTGAGTTATATAAGACGAATACGAGAATCAGTCAGTTAGATTAGCTGAAGTGTTCAATTTTTACAATATGAAATTCATCAGAATATCATACATGCTATATTATATATATATATATATATATATATATATATATATATAATAGTTTTTGTAAACTAAGATAATTTAGGTTTGATAAGATATAGACAAACAAAGCATTATAAAAACATACGACCGTTTGTAAAGTTTCAAACAATTTTTCAAAGGTTTTCAGAAATACTGACTTTCGTTTAAATAGAATAACGTTGTTAAATGAAATGTATTTTCTTTGACTGGTGTAAGAGAAATGTATATTTTAATAATTTAAATTACCTTATTTCTATTCTGTATTTTAGATCCGTTGTCTTGAACATGAGTACATGAAACACTGGAAGTTATATAGAGGTAGGTAAATCTAAAATGTTCCTAGTTAACTGGTTTATGAGTAATTTCTGTAGGAATTTTCGCTCTTTTTTTGAGATTTTCATTCTACACAAATATGTTTAGAATGAGAAAAAATATAGTAAAATTTGAGAAGGATCACAAAGTGACTAAGTTTACGAAATATTCGTTGGTCACAGACCATACTAATCTGAACCGACTAAATAGGCAATCACATGTATGTTCTTTAAACCTTAGGCATGTTTATTCTATTCTTATTAATAATTATCAATTCGTCCTTGTTTACGTGTTTCCTTTATTGATAAGTTATTCTTTGATATATTGTGAAGAATAAGGCCAATTCGACGGAATGTACATTTGTAAGAAGTTGCATATCATTGAATATATACATATTACTACTGTATATTCATTTTTATCAGACAATTAAAAGAAGTAAGGGATGAGTCAAAGAAGTTCTTCATTATAAACGATGGAAAATTGGTTTATCATTGTCAAAATAAGCTTTACTATTTAAAAGACATTTTGACATGATTTTTTATTAACTGAGAAAACTTAAGAACGTAAAAAATCATTTCGCTTTTCTTGCTAAATCGTTAACCGTTTAAAAATTGTCAAATTGATCTAAGTGGTAAATTTACGTATTTTTTGTAAAAACATGCAGACAAATGTTCCTTAATAGATAGATAGGCTTATATTGTGAATGTTTACAGGTTGCTCTGAATCATCATGTATACTTTTTTTCAAGAATAACATACATAAGTTTAGAAGTTCCATTGTAAATGATTTTTTTTTAATACTGAAAGAAATACATATTCTTGAGTAATAATATAAGCATACATTATTATATACCCATATAACTACACATCCCAGTCTTACACTTATCTTTACCTTATTAGTTATGTTTACAATGTACTTAATATACTTCAATGTATATCCGCTGTCTAATGTTTAACATCTTGCAATGCTTCACTAACAGGACTAAGCTTAAACTGTTTTTTCTATTGATTTTTACCATTTGTTTCGGTAAACCATACAAATAACCATATACTTGAAAGCTTAATACAATGGAATTCTCTTCTACAACTAGTAGATGTAACCTTACAAGAATTGTCAAGTGGTGCGTGGATGATTAAAAAAGTCCACTAGAAAGTATCAAGCTTTGTTAGTTTGTAAAGTTCCTCATATAGAAAGAAGAGTAATTGGTATAAATCAAGTGATAACATATTTGGTTTAAATGAATTAATAAACATCCTATTTTTTACCATGTATATGGATCATCTATAAATATCTACATCTTGTGTTAGAAAAGAATATTTATACTACAGAAAATGGTAACTAGTAAAAATATGATAAATCCAAAAATAATAAATATGATGTTTTTTTACCCAAGTTATTAACAAAAATACATTGTTTACTGACAGATTATACCTCTTTATAAAACATGAGATCAACACTAATAAAATTAGATTTTTTATCGATTGTAAACTTATTATTATCATTATTATTACTTATTAATATAAAGTAAGGATGAAGATTAGGTGAGAAAAAGATACACTATTTTTTTTCTTTCAATACTACTACTAGATATCGCCATAGTTTAAAAAAAATTTTCATATCTCATAGGCAAAGAATGACCTGAAAAATATTTCACTAATCTAAAACTATGTTACTTACATTTTTTTTTATAGTTACATTTCATTAAAGATATGAGTAAACATGCTTGTGAGGGAAAGTTAGAGGTCAGAATGTTAGATTTCACAGTAAGCGTTTCATTAAGATTATATTTATTTGATAGATTGAAACTCACTGTATTCTGCAGAGTTGGCCTAAAAATACAAAGTTTGCATAAATGTATTTACACATTTGAGATCATCAATCAATCATTGTTAGACCACCATTAGAAACCTGGAAGCACTGGACGGCCGTTTCACCCTGGTATGGGACTCATCTGCAATGAGCATCCACGAATCCTGCACCTCGCACCCGGGACCTTCGGTATTGTGCGCGAACGCCTAACCATCGGACTACTGGGCCGGCATCCAACTGTGTTTATGTCTAACTCTGATTGATCTAGGGATTTTGCGTTACCTCACTCATTTGTCTTTAGTTGTTACTGCCTACACCCGACAGGGTTGAACTCAATTGGTCATGTCTTCTCAACGAGAACTCTGAGAATTTCTTCACGAAGCTAGTCACTAGTGAGCACATGTTACGATATTTTCAGTTAGAGTTTTTGGATGAGTGAGGTCGAGAAAAATCCCTAGATCAATCAGAGTTAGACATAAACACAGTTGGATGCCGGCCCAGTAGTCCGATGGTTAGGCGTTCGCGCACAATACCGAAGGTCCCGGGTGCGAGGTGCAGGATTCGTGGATGCTCATTGCAGATGAGTCCCATACCAGGGTGAAACGGCCGTCCAGTGCTTTCAGGTTTCTAATGGTGGTCTAACAATGATTGATTGATGATTTCAAATGTGTAAAAACACAGATCTCCAAAAACTCTAACTGAAAATATCATAAGTGTATTTAAGAAGCCATTCAGTTAGTAAGGTTATTTTGAATAATTTAGCAATGACTATGTTAATAAATCATTTAGGCCCAACAGTTGTTGGAAGGCAGACTGACTTACTCTTCAAATCCTAGTATATATATATATATATATTTGAGTAAACGATTGTGGTTACACATAGTAATAAAATGAAATAATTATGTACATTTCATGTGATACTTAAAGTGATATTTTTATTGATTTCAAAAATACTTTATTTGACATAATATTATCAGCGGTAAAACTAGGATTAATTAGACATTTATTACACCCTACATTTCTGATAGTACAAAAGTGGAATAAAATAAAGATGCGAAAATGAAGCTACCATATATAGACTGACAGAATCAAGTACTTAAGTTAAAATAAAATAATCGATCTCTTCAATCCTAATCGACTCATAATTTGATGCACTCATCATCTAGAATTTTGTCAATAACATGTAATCGAAAAGAAATGCAGGTCCAACTGATCAAAGAGATTTAAAATAAATTACCAATCAAAAAACCGTAGAGAAAAATGCAAGAAGAAATAAGAATAGAAATAAGGAATAGAACAGATATCAATAATTAAAGAAAGAAAAACAATAATAGCTGTTTCTGTTAGACTTAATCCATTTGATAATTTAATAAAAAAAATGAGAAGAAACAATAAAGTTTGCCGGCTTATCATGATAACATTTTAAAAATACCGACTATAATATTCAAAAAAAAGGAAGAAATATCTGCAATAGTTTCCTTTTTTAGTTATCCTTTAGTTATACCTTATTATGACACTGATTCAAAGACACAAATATACGCTTTGAATAAAAGTGCCCAGTGTAAATTTGAGTTTTTAATAAAGAGATTATTCTTAATTCTATATAAGATTCTGAATAACTGACTAAAAGGTGTACAATTACTCATCGTCAATATAGTAGTAGCTTTAAACCCAAATTACAAATTCACAAAAGTACATTTGACTTTACAACACCCGACAATCAGGTTATTCCGTTACCAAAAAATGGTCACATCAACTGTAAATCCCGAACCGTTAATCTAAATTTTAATTTTATTCATGTCTTCTCGTTTCCTATTTGTGACTTATTATCCCACAGAATACTACGATAACAATTACCTTGATAAAATGTTTTTACTGCCTTCTATCTTATCAACAAAATTCTGTTTACACTGACTTTATCTCATAACTTAACAATAATAGTTCTGATAAAAGGATTAGCTTATATTTGGTTCCGTCAGTTTCTTATTGAATTCTTTAACTGATCTGACAGCTCATCTTATATGTATTTTTACGAAGAATTCGACAAGGAATGAATCATTTTGTTCTTTCGAACTTCGAATCTAACGCATAACAATGAGTTTTTGAATTCTAAATCAACACAGTTACTTAAACAATAGCAACAAAAGTTATTGTTTGTCTAACACTGTGTGTTGATAGAATTTTGTCAACTAGTGTGAAATATGGCCAGTAATCTTAGTGACTGTATATAACATTGATTATCATTTAATGATTTTCGAATCAATACAAAATATATAGGAAGCCTTGCTCCTACGTCTTATGTTGACTGTCACTTTTCAAGATAGGATTTCTTCAGTTTTGCAACATTTAAACCCGCATTACTTGACGAAAGTTTCCCATAACCATTTTGAAAAGTTATTGTTCGAATAGATTGTTTGTGAAGACAACTTTATTTTGAAGACGGTTTTCGTCTCAGATTGTCAGAAAACAGGAAACTATATGTAATGGGTATGCACTGAATAGTTATCTCAGACTGTTTTAAGACTGCTCAATAGTCCCCATTCGTTTTATCACACACTGTTCAACGAAACACACAGTAATGGATAATCAAGTTGTGTATGTATGTATGCGCTACACTGAGAAGTCTTAAACTAAGATGAATCACTGTGCAAGAATATTTTTTTTTCAACGGTCTATCAGCTTTCGTCAGTTAGTTGTGGAAACCATTTTTCAATTTTTAATTTTGTTGCCTTTATATTGGGTATAGTTTTAAAATTAAGACAGATTTATAACAGTAATAACTGAAAGAGAAATGGTCTGTTGTCTGATACAAATTAAAATTTCTATTCTCATTGTTTTTCCCTTTGACATTGTTGTTTCGTAGAAATCAGATCACGTTCGCAAGGTGAAATGTATTGTGATCAGGTTAACAGTGGTAGTAGTGGAAATGGCAGAAGTAGTGGAGAAGGTATCCAGTCTAGTCAGTATTCAACAAGTGTGAAAAGTTCATCACTTTTACCTAAAAATAAACTAAGTAAATCAACATTAGCTCTCACTGGATTTAATGGATCTGATCATATTCAAACATCAACTACTATCGTCAATACAACTAATCACTATCAAAATCATTCTCATTATTATAATTATAATAACATTAATGATACAACAAATTATCTACCAACCGTAGTAGAAAAACGTCCAAAATATTCCTCTTTATTGAATTTATTACGACATAAATCAAAGAAAACCACAAATAATTATTCATTACAAAACGATAATCGTCCACGCTCTGTTACAACAGCTTCACCAACAACCACAAATGTGATAGATCGAAAACACTCGTTTCTACACTTGAATGGACAAAGTAATTCAGATTTGACAGTAACTCACATACCATTGCGAAAATCTGCTACTCTTCTAGTTCAAAACAACAATAGTAACTATACTAATAAGGGATTAAGTAAATCCAGGAGTAATGCACGTGACTTAATAACTAATGATGCTAGTTTGAAACAGCAACAGGAATTTCTATTGAAACGTTTATGTCAAATAGAAGCTCAAACGGAATATTTATCTGGTACCTTAATATGTGAAGTAATTGGAGTCAGTGGCTCAGTGTCTTCATTATCAAGAGACGTTTTTAGGATATCATTAAAATATGATTCACCAATCATGTCTTCTATATATGAATTACAAAGTGATAGTGAATTACCAGAACATAAACCACTATATACATCAACTGTTCCTTTAAATCAAAAAGTTGGTTCAAATGATAAATGGACAATTACTGGTCGTCTCACTTCATCGCATTCATTCTCTACCTCCTCTTCTACAATGACTTCAAATCCATCAAAAACTTCAGCCCACTTCCAAACAACTTATTTAGATGATGTAAATTTAAAATTTCCTGACCAAAGATGGGATCAAACTAAGCATATATTTAGTCCAACAATTGGTGATGTATTAACAATAAAAGTAAGCTATAGACATTTATGATATTTGATAGTAAATGTCTATACATTTTTATGAGTGTTTTATGAATCAGGAGTAGTCTAGAGTTTTCAAAGTTTTATGTATTAACATGTAGTTAGATTTTAAATGAAAACATGCTTTAAAGTACTTCAATAATAATTCAAATTGTTAGTTGTTTAGCTGTTTTTTACATTGTATGAATAAATAAGCGAAATCAATCGATGAAACTTTTGTTTACAAATACATTAATATTATTTACTGCATTGATTTAGTAGTAAGAAAAATCAATTTATAAGATCATCTTATCTGTAATAAATTATAATTTACTATTCATGAAGGGACATAGTATAAAGTAGTTTTTTCACAATGAACATTAATGAACAATGTTAACTGTGGTAGTTGAATGAATAATAAATATGAAAAACTTAATTTTTGATTATTTCTGTAAACTGATCTACTTTAAATTATAAGTTCATGAAAAGCATCTTTCGAATGAACTGTTTAATAAAGGGTGTTGGTTGAAGTGACTATGATTCAGAGTGAATCGAAATACTAGTTTTCAACAAAATTTTACTCTAGAAAATCGAATTTCGTCTTCTAAATTGTCAAGCAATCAAATAAATAGCAAAAAAAATATTTTAGTTTACTAAGTGATTGAACTAGGACTACTCACAGTTGAGTTTTCTGCGTATAATTTCTAAAAAATAAATTCTTTAGTTAAACAATAATTGAGTCCTTTGAACGTTTTACGATTAAAGAAAATATCTTGTCAATCCTGAGTTGCTAATTATTCGGTACATACGTATAGGTGTTTATCTGTCATTTATTCGACAAATTTGTGAATACTTTGGTCAGTTATCATTTTCAGTCCAATGTTTGAATCCCTTCTTCAGGTCCTATTTTCTATCTAGTTGTCTTGAGATTGTGAGACGGATACTTCCATTAGTTCAGCTGCAATTCTACATATGAACTTTAGCTAATAATGATTATAGATAACATAGATCCAACTTAAGAAGTCCAACATATTTTATTGTAAAAGACATAGCCATTTCTTTTCTCTTCCAAGCATAAAATAACTGTATCACTGCAAACATTCATCAAACCAGAGAGCTAATGAATGGTGTGATTCCATTAAGGCAAACTGATTTAAATCAATCTAGATGACATTTATTATTGTTTTGGTGAATGAACCACGAAAGACGTTCTGTTAAAATCACTCGCTTTTTACCTGCCTTTTAGCTAATGATGTTAAACATAGAACTTGGACTGAAACATTATATGCATAAATGAGTACTTACTTACGCCTGTTACCCCCAATGGGGCATAGGTCACCGACCAGTGTTCTCCGGCCTACTGTGTCCTGTGCTTCCCTCTCCAGTTCTGTCTAACGTTTGTTCACTCTCCTCATATCTGTCTCCATATCTCGGCGTAGAGTGTGACTTGGACTTCCACTTTTCCTTTGACCTTGAGGGCTCCAAGTGAGGGCGCGACTTGTGACGCAGTTGGGTACTTTCCGCAGTGAGTGTCCTAGCAACTTCCACCTCTTCTTTTTGATTTCCTGCTGCACTGTTGTCTGGTTTGTTCTTTCCCACAGTAGGTTGTAGCTGATGGTGTCAGGTCAACAAATCCGCACTGTTAATGAATACTTGTAATTTCTGGATGATGGCTTTCATAGTTGTCCATGTTTCCGTTCAATATAGTAGAATTGTCTTGAGATTTGTAATGGAGATTCTGATTTTGGTGTTGATTGACATTTGTTTGCAGTTCCATATGTTCTTCGTTTGTAGAAATGCAGCCCTTGCTTTGCCGATTCGCGCCTTCACATCCGCATCAGATCCACCTTGATTTTCAACGATGCTGCCAAGATATGTAAAGGTTTTTACATCCCCCAAGACATCTTCATCAAGAGCGACTTGGCTGGCACGTGTAGTATTGTATCGGAGAACCTTGCTTTTCCTTTTGTGTATGTTGAGACATGTTGCTGCTGAGGCTGCTGCTGTATTGGTCATCTTCTCTTGCATTTGTTGCTGCGTGTGCGATTTAAGATCATCTGTAGAGTCCAGACCATCCAGCTGCATCCTATCTGTCCAATGGATACCGCGCTTCACTCCAGATGTTGACATCTTCATAATCCAGTCGATTACCAGGAGAAAAAGAGTGTGAGAGTAAGCAACCTTTCCTGACACTGGTCTTCACCTCGAACAAGTGTTTTAGCTGTCCTCCGTGAACGATTTTGCAGATTAATCCATCATAAGAATTCCATATGATGTTGACTATCTTCTCAGGCATGCTAATAATTACCAACACAGACAAGCAACAGTCTTGTTAAAATGTCAACATTTCTTAAATAATAAGACATTTTAAGGATGAAAAAAGTCAAGAATCGTTCAAACATTATTTTATTGCAAAGTGAAGCATTTTGTTGTAGAATCCTGAAATACCCCTCAGCAAAGTCTATAGACGCCCAGAAAAAGACAGGGATATATTTCATCCAATCAACATTCGATGAAACCTTCGCAGAAAAATATAGATTCACGCACCATAATTCTGATTGGATATATGACCACACCACCACTACGCTTAGTATAGTTCTCGAGCGTTCCGCAACTCTACAAATGCCCACATTCTCTGTACGTAAACTAACCTTGGAGTAAAGCGTCCATTTCTTACTTCGCGCCTTTTCTCTTATGCAGTGTACATTTTAGTCTGAGGTATTGAGAAGCGGATAGGAAATCAGATCTTGCGCCCATTTAGCTGACCTAACACACTTCCAAAAACATGGTGATAACTGTCCTCGGTTTTCTTTAAAAATCTTCACAATTATCTGAAATTATATGTTCATCATCATTCAAAGAAGATGTTGATAAAAGATTATGTAATGGGGGATCTAAAGAACCATGAACAATCGAAACATAGTCATATTTAGTGATTTTCGTTCCATTTCAAATATCTTGGCATGAGTCAACTTTGAATCCAACTAGTTTCAAGCTCAAATTTAGTTAGGATTTGATTATTTGTACCTTTCAAGACTAGTTTTACAAGACTATCATACGAATAGTTTACATGATCTCCAACCATAATATTCAAAATTTCTTACAATAATTTCTGCAGAATCAAGTGAGTAGTTAAAAAGATTCTCACTGTTTATTCATTTACATAAACGAATGACCAGCTAATAAAGAATGTTTAATATGTTTACTAATTTAGGTCACCTGATCAAGTTAAACTCTGTAAGCATCAAATTGATGAATTGAATTCTAGTATTGAAAATATTAGTAAACTAACAACATTAATCTTGGTTGTTGATAATGTAACCAATTAAATACTATGCACTTTGAGTGTGTAATCCAAACGTATAGTAATGTTAGTTTCATGACCACGAAAAAAATCCATCTCTTCGTTTTTTAAAAAGACAAATTAATTAAAATCAAATTTAAAAATTTATGAATAAACTATTCAATAGATGTACAGATTTCACATTAAATGTCAGTGGATGCCTCATTAATCTTATTTTTGTTTAGTTAAGGCAACAATTGAACTCTTCTGAGCTATGTAAATATTTTACTTTGTGATTTAATTACTCGGAGTTTTCTTTGATTCTCAAGTTAACACGTGAATATGTATCAGTTGATAAACATGAGAATGATACTTTTGTTGTTAAAATATGTAGTAAATTAAATTGATATAAAAACATTTTAAGTGATTTATTTTAGACATCAGGGAAACTAATTCATAACTGTAGTAGAATGAGAGAAATCACTTTGAAAGAAAAGTTTACACTAAAAAAGTACAGCACATTAGTACTCATAGCTGCTTATAGTCCACTACATTAACATTCGTTGGGATATTAGTGTTATCATGCTGAAGAGAATTTATAATGACAGCTAAAAATACCATAAAATATTGTTGAACATGTCTGATACATAAATGAGCATTGAATTATATAAGACCGTTTCAAATATGCATCGTTAATACACGAGTATTCATTGCTACTGTAAAGTTATCTGATAAATAGATAAAATAGCTTTGACAATTTATCAAAGCTAAACACTTTAATGGGCTGAAGTTATAACCAGTCATTGGATTTAATAACATACTAATACTACTGAAGTATCTGTGAAATAACAGTTTATATGAATTCATGTTACCAAATTAGTTTAATCCTTAACAATCTGACTATGAGCTTTAAAATAAATAATTAAGAGTGAAAATACAGGCTAAAAAATAACCAACGATAAACTATTTGCTTGTTGTAACAATTCAAAGTAGGCTACATTTCACTGAACAATTATGCGCCGTATGATTTAGCAGTTTTATAAATAATCACTGACACTGTACAATCGATAGGCTTTTGTAAATTGGGCTAGAGAAATCAATCTACAAGTTTCAATGTTTAATGGCTTTTGTTAACAGAACTTGATAATCAGTTTTCTTTTGTCTTATAATAAATACAGGTAGTTGTAATGCGACGGTTTGGAAAACCAGAAACGCTTGTCCAACAGGGATGTGATATTTTAAACTTACTCACACTTAAAGGTCATCATATAGCAATTGGACTTAAAGATTTTACTGATCTTCAATTTCATTTTATTCTTAAATGGTGGTAAGTCAATACACCACTTAGTTAATTGTATCACTGTGTCATTTTAAAGCCCGGTAATTATTCATTTAAATATTTAAAAACAGTATTCCAAACCGATTGAAACCAAGAGAAGAACTAATGGTTTCCATTAGATAATGGACTTATAGGTTTGCATCTGACCACGAGAGTGTTGTTTTTTTGTATTACTCTATAAGTATCTGATAGTCAACATTTGCAAATTTAGCCAAAATACTGTACAATGTCACCAATAACTGGTATGGTTGAAATCTATCTTTCAAGAATTTGTACCAGATTATTCAAAAAAACAAATGTTCGTGAAACTAGTTCAAATATAAGTTACTTAACCTATAATAATTCTGTTAGAAGAAATTACCACAAGTTATCATAGAATACAGACACAGAAATGAATTTCAATAAGTTTCAACTTGGGCTCACAGAATGTAATTGGTATTAAATGTTAGCTATTCATGATATTGATCATCATACAATAGCTATCAAGCCCACGCTCAGAATCGGTATCCATGGTACGAAAGATCAAATCGTCATTTGATAATTTTTGTTGAATTTTGAATAAGAAATATTTTATTTTTCACAAAAAAATAACTGTTCTTACTGATTTGCCGAAAAAACATTTACTTATTCATATAAATTGGTAAGATATACTAATGTAATGCATACTAGTTATAAATTCTTAAAATTGTGCATTAAATTAATTTGTAAATTTTCTTCATATTTACTTAGTGGTGAAACATGTTTTGTTTTTTCAACTGTAAACGTATTATTCAATAATTTGCATATTGACTTATCTAAAAATTTAAATTATCACATGATTTGAACAATACGCATAGATTAAAATTTTTTGTCTGCTTGTACTTTTGTGTTATACCAATGAAAGTATTTAAATAAAACGACAATTGTGTTTCAATGAGTCGAATTGAGATGAAGATTTTAAGTCATAATTTTCTATGAGAAAAATATTATATGCCACTGTAGATACGAATAGAGCAATTTATCTGAACTTTACGAATTCTAAAGTTTTAATTGGCTTATAATATTAGAAACAAAGTTGGAAATCAACGACTTGAATTTTATTAACCATGATTACTGAATGTACGGTCATTCAGTTAAAATAGGAATTATAAAACTATCCATACGAAGTATCGGAGAGCGGATCTGTTTAGCTCTGTAAACCAACAAAACAGAAAGTGGTAATATTACTGAACGAAATTACACTATTTTTAGTGATGTTAATAAAAATAAATTTCCGATAAGACGATTTGAAACTAGTGAAAATTATCTCTACTTTTGTTTAGAATTACGTACTCTCAATACTATTAAATCTACTCTAAAGAGCATGAGTCAGTAACATTTATCTAGACAAACTGGAAGTTTCAGAACTCCTAGTCGACAAATATATGACAAGGTATCGGCACTGATATAGAATGAAATCTGATTAAGATTTCAACAACATAAGTCACCTGTAGATAGATAATCAAATGTCATGCTGCCCAAACAGGGTATATCGTTCATTTCATACTTTCCATTCAGTTCTACTAAAGTATAAATTCACAATGTTTCGTTGATCATTTTCACTTGTGTATAGTGAATAATATTATTTGCTTAGAAATTATTTTACGTTTTTTTTTCCCTATAAATCATTTAGCCCATTAGCTGATACTAAAGATGATCGAATGTTGTTTTACAATTTATCAACTATTCAACTGAATAATTTCTTAGATGAACAAAAACAAAAACTATCAAATATTAAAATGATGTTAAATGATGAAGAGATGAATGATTATTCATCATCTAAAATGAATTATTCTAACATGAAACGATATCATCCAGATTTTATATCACCTGAATTAAATTATCACTATGATGAACACCAACAACACTATCCACATCATCATCATCATCAATATCATCAACATCATTATCATCATCCACATCATCATCATCATCATCATCAACATTTAACTAATTTAATTAAAACAGAAACACATTCCAGTGAGTTCATTATACCACAAGATAATTCAGATTCTAGTGATTTAGAAAATAAAGAAAGTGTAACAATTTTAACAGTTCAATCGAATAGACGAACTCCTAGTCGATATAATGCACAAAATAAATGCCATCAAAAACTTCCAAAGTGGATTTCTTTACCAGTAAGTATATATATATAAACATATTTGATTTGCATGGGATGCTATTAGGTTTCACACATAAATCTGTCTTCTTATTATTAATCATCACTTATCAGAAAAATTCAATCACGACAATATGAATTGTTTTGTTAAACACTACCGAGTTACGTTTCAAAATTCTGACCATTCATTTTTTATAGCACTGACTACATTTTATGTTAGTGAATCTAAACGAGAGTGAAGAAGAATAAGATTTGTTTTTAACTATATTTGTAAGGTAACTTGTTAGCGATATAAATGATTCTAGTCATATTAGCTGAAGATTAGTTTTTATATCATTTCCATCACTTACTTAAAGGTGTATTGTTGGATCACTGACTTTATTCAGACATATTTCTTCGTGAATAGCAGGATCTCATATAATATTCGACAAAACTATAACAGAAACGGATTTACTTTATGTAATAAAGGTATGATATATACTTTCCAACTTTTTCTGCGTTTCAGATACATCTGGAGAGTGATCATGAAATATTGTAGATGTTAAATTAATCTACCGGTTGTATAATTTACCTTAGGAGCACAACATTTATATTTATTCAGTCAAACAAATTGTGTGAATATTAACATTCCTTTAAAAGGTACTACACTGTGGTATAGAAACTTATTGCTGATAACACTTAAAACTAGACAGTTTCTAAAGACTGCAATAATATGAACCACTTTTTAGTATAAGTATGTGATATAATTCCGTTAGTCTTGGAAATAGAACATCATGTTGTTCACAAACACTTGTTTTAAACATATCTTAAGCAATCGAATTAGTGTTATTTGGATGATATAGTTTGAACGCCATCTAAATTATTCAAGGAAAGCTTTCCGGATGAAATAAACGTACGCATAAACCGTTTCCACATGGAAATCATTCAAAGAACTTTGAAGTAATACATGCTGACAGATATATCGGTAAAGTAGGACTTTTGGAGCAAGATTTTTTGAAATTAGTACCTTCGGAGAATCCCAGGTATGACAGATGTTATTGTAAGTTGAGCTAACAATATATCAATGCAAATTTTCATAGTTGACTTTGTGAGTAATTATCACACAGTGGCATTTAAGTCAATCTATTGATTGTAATTAGATAAGTATTCCTTCCACTATGATGCAAGACAGCAATGTGATTATAATTAGTTTATCTCATCAACGGTCAATAAGTTCGAAAGTTCTTTCTTCATCTTTTAGTTCAAAATTAATTTAAAATTTACCCAGACTGGGGAAGAAACAGTGATAGCCAATAAGTTATCGATTTAAATCTGGATGTAATCAGCGAATCTGTTTCATTTGTCGGCTCTAACGAGATGAAAAATGACCAACTTTATTTTCGATCAAACATGATTGAAAATACAGAAAATTCAGCGGAGAAAATTTTCATTTCAACGAAACCATTTACTTCGTCTGAACATAATATTCGTAGTTATTTGGGAAATGTATGAATTTACAGATGCGAATGTACAGCTTACGTAAATGGCTTCTTCGAAAAGAAAATTTTCTTCACTGAACTCTGTATTTTTATTTACTGACACAAAGGGGTTATTTTAATGATGTCTAGTATTGTGATCTTACAGATTTGAATTTAGTTTTCATATATTAATCGCATACCTAATTACGATATTCAAAATACTTTTAAATTAAAAACTAAAATATTATATTAGTTTTTGATTAGCCTAAAAGTCTTGTTTATTTTCTAAATTTACATTAATAGGATCTTGAAATAACCCATGAAGTGAGTGAATCGGAATTGATGTCACCTGAAATCAAAGTCATTACTGTACGTACACACCAGAATGATGAAAACAAAGAAGGTCATCAAAAACACAATGTTGGTACTACAGACACCAAAATCATTAATACTTCAAGTAATGCTAATAAACAAAGTGATCATGTAAGTAAACAAAAAAGTTTTGAATATTATTGATATTCATTCGTAGTCATAGTATATAACCAATTGAGAATCATTAAAAACTAGGCAGCACATTGTAGTATTACTTTCTTAGGTTGAAACCACAAAGCAGACTGTGCAAATATTCTTTAGACTAGTGACTGAGCTCACAAGTTTCTACCCTGTTGATGCTTCCTTTTTGTCAAAGGTTTTCTAATTGCTATCAATTCATTATGATGATGATTTATTTTCAGTTTACGTTAATGATCATCTATATTTTCTTTAAATGATGAAAATAACCATTGTTCTCTTTCGTTCCTTTTTTTTGATTTCAGATTGATAATCACATCAATGCTTCTAAAAAAAGTATAGAAGAAATTGCAATACTATCAGAAAGATTAAGTGAACAATCAACACTTATGAATGATCAATCATCTAGAAAAACAAATACATTACAGACAACAGAATCAACAGTACTGATACCAAAACCTACACATAATCAATTATTTGAACATATCACTAAGTTAAAGGAGAAAGTTGATACCAAAATTAGAATACATGATGATCCTTCAGGATTACTCAAGGTAAAAAGGATTAATTTTTTCATCATTCTCTTTTTATGTGTTCACTAATAATTATTGTGGAGTCAAATTACCTTTTTTTAGACAGTATCACAATTTTTTTACCTAATTAATCTGTTGATACCAGTTAGTATCTGATTTCAACTTACTACAAAGTTACACGCTGATTGGAAGATAAGTTAGAATCAGTCTCAGTTAGTGATTAGCTACATAAACATTAAAAGATCCATTAGAATTTGCCGACAGTATAAACCACGTAATACTGCTGGTAAGTCGACAAAAGTATGTAAAGCATGAAGAATAAAGACCCAAAGAAACTACAGTAAACAAAGGGGCTATTTCTATTAATCTCAAAATTAAAGGTGATGATGTTACATGGACAAACAAACAACCTAAGACTAAAAGCTATTGAAAAAAAACATATCCTGAAGATAAATTGATTGTTTTGTCCGAAACATCATGTTCTTTAACATAGTCAAAGGTTGACAAGTACCACTTTCAAGTAAATGCCAACTGTGTATACAAATTCACATGCGTTCTCCAGAGCAGTAACGTTGGTGGAACAAAAAGAAGGGCCTATGTACAGTTCAATGGACATATTCCAAGAAGTCGAACATTAGGAAGACTAAAAGCATTCAGCGGTGCGATCTCGAGATATCTCCTTAATACGGTATATCAGGTGGAAACGCTAAAGTCTCTCAAGCTGATTAATCAGCAATCGAGTCCCCATTTTCAAAAACTTACCAAAGCTGTAGCCATCAAATGTCAGAAACCGAATTTATCTATCCCTTACTCTGGTCACATCATACCTATTTGATTTCTTTCTAATCCTTCGATTACATTATTTTTATTTCGCTTGAATTCACACTTTTGGTTTTAATCGGCCGATTTCAACTCTTTATTATCATTATTATTATTCTTTATTAATCGAACCTCCGTCACTTCACTACGCATAAGTTTGATAACTTCTTGATTTCTCACCACTAGTTTGATATTCTGGGACTGTTTCTCTCACACTTTTTATATCTGTAACATATTTTTATGACTTTATCAACTCTATCAATAACGTCACAACATCATGATGCATTACTCTGATCACCTTCGTATTAATAAGTATGTCCATTTCCATGATAATTTAGGTTTGAAAATATTATGGGTAGTAAACAACTTATGTGAACTCAACGAAATAAAAAGAATTTGTATTATTCTGCATTGATATTTAGTTTTGCTCTCTTCAAAATATTATAAATCACAACAGACGAAATTGTTTGCTCAAATAATAATCTACTCACCTGAGCGATCAAAATTTTAACTCATTTTTCAACATTGTAAACAATCACGAAGCCCTTTTGCGTAAACTTACCTCGTTCTCGTATTCATTAAAATGATAACGAGGAAGAAGGATAGATTATACGAAATGCGATGCTTAGACATAGATTATGGTCATAAATCGATATTGCTTAAAGTGAATTTATTATTACACAAGCATATAAGTCAATAAATTACTAGCATTATGCAACAATCATTGGTAAATTTATGAGCACATGGATCCAGCGTTGTTTAGTTCAAAGCAATTAAGATTGCAAAGATACCTAACTATCCTAAATGAGAATGGCTGAGATCAGTAATTTGAAACTTTAAATAACAAGTCTCAGATGTTTTCACAATGATGCAAATGAATTCTCAATACTGAGTCTTTTTTAATGTCATCGCTTCAACTTCCTAAATATTTCTTTTATCATTTATTGTTTCGTGCTCATGTAAAATAAGCAACTTGGGTCAACGCACAACCGTGCCGCGCTTTTCACTGACGATGACTAACTGATTGAGTAACAATAAATGACCATCAAAATGCACAGGAAATCAGTAAACATGGGCTAATACTGGTTTTAAACTTATGATATTATTCTCCAAAACTAAACATTCATAAAAAAGTTGAGTAAATTAGTGATTATTATTATTATTTTTATTTAGTAGTGTAAACATTCCTAATAACAGTAAATACATAGATGGAAATTAGACATTTTTTTAACTGTTATCAAAAATAATAGCGGCTTGTTTGTTTAATTTTCATTTCAAATAAGTATAGACTGAATTTTTTTTTACCAACATAGAAGATATCAATGAAACATTGCTATTTGAAAAAAAAACACAACTATATGTACTAAATGACAAAACAACAAAATTACTCAGTACCAAATTTCTATTTTACATACACTCAAAATTTTTTAAATAGAAACTACTAATTTTAACAAAACAAAAAAAACGAAACTCTAAATTCTTTGCAACTAATTTACAAACTGTGTATTTTTTTTTTAGTTATAATTCGTTTTTTCGGAGCAAACTTAAAATTTCAACAAATCAACTAGACATACTGAAATTTGTTTCACAAAAACAAATTTATGTTTACTATCTATCAATAAATAATTATGTTGAATGTATGCCAATATTAGCTTTGAACTCAATGCCAATTAAACTATTTACCAAATACATAAATCTTTGAAATTACTACAATAACTATTTCCTTAGTGACCATAGGTAACGGACATTTTTTTCTCATCCAAAGAGAGATTAACTATTCAATTCATTATCTTCTTGCTGTGCTAATGTGCTATGGCAACTTGAACTGATGTATATAGGTACCAAAATCTATGTTGTGGCTGATTGATTGACTGATAATTATAAGACATTAGATTTTAATCACTGATTCAAGTAATGTGTTGTTACTTTGTTTGCAAAGTTATCGTGTTCAGATTGATTATGTTTTGTGGAATGTGTACATATGTTTTTTTTGAGTGAACAAACTAGTTGATATATATGTATATTAAGAAGAATACAAAGTTGTACTCTGTAATATCACAATCAGATTTATTTTAAACGTAAAGTAATCTACGAGTCAATAGCTTAATGGTTAAAATATTTCGATATAAATTGATTTAAAATTCCATTTCGTCTAGATCAGTTTTGACAAATGAATAGTACTTATCATTAACCTTTAAACATACAATGTAGCTTGAAGTGTAGTCAATCAATATGTACTTGGCAAAGGAGTAAATGTCGAATAAATTTTTACTTGGTATATTTATCAAAAATCTCGATAAATTTGTAATAATCTAAAAAAGCTCAAAAGCCATAAAATTATTTATCATGTTGTTCAAATGTTTAGTGATGAATAAATTATTATTATGATTATTCGTATTTCTTAGTGGTTATAATAATAAGGAGTTAGTGTTTTTTGCGTATACAAAGTAAGATTATTGATTAAAGAAGAAAATAGTTTGATAGCTTACTACATGTTATTCATAACTGTTAATTTATGCTGATATTATTCGATGAAAAGCAATGATTATTTATTACATCACTTTACATCTTAGGACTTAGACAAGGCTATTACAAACCTTGTTATACAATTAGAGAGCAACTCATATTGGTTTAATCAACTATTCGTCCCGAGAAAATGTCAAAATTCAAAACCCATTATTGCTTCACCATCAAAAACATTGGAAAGAAATACTGACGAACAAAACACTTTGAAATCCTTATGGGAATCATTGGCATTTTTAGATGAACCGGAGAAAACATTTGATGATTATGCAGAGGATGGAGCAACATCATCTGTATCAGGTTCTTCTCATTCAATTGAAATTACTGAGAAAACAGACAAGTATACACTTGAAAGTGATCAGATTATCGAAACTACAGGTTGGCAACAGTTAGATTCTGCATTGATATGGCATTTAAACTATACTATTCGGCTACTGGACCGAGTATATCCTGATAACTTGTATGTAAGCAGCTCACAAAAATTATTATCAATTCAGTCATCTATCTCAGATGTTTCTGATAAAACAATAAGTAGCTATACATACAGTGAACCATTGAGTTTATTGCGAAACTCAGTTCATTCTGCTTGGTCTACTTTACCTTTACTGGAGCAGGTTAGTAAAATGTTTTACTTTGAAGAAAATCTATATTCATCTTTTACGTATATTGCTACTTTCAATAAATAAGTTCTTGTCTCAACAACACTGTCGTACATTACTGTTTGAAAAAATCAAAACTGTCCGAGTGGTCAAGTGAGGTAACCAGTTTGGTTTGCTTGCCATATCAGCGAAATAAAAACAATACCTTAAATTATGACCAATTATCTTACGTCATCCAAAATTATTGAGCTTACATTGATTAAAAATTATTGATACTGATGTTTGAATCTCAACTGGAAATGTTTCAAAAATATATGAAACATGCAAATTTACGCCTAAAAGACATCTACCACAAAATATGAAAATGCTAGTCAGAATTTTTAAGAAACTAATTTGCATGATAAATAAGTTTATGTATCGAACCGACTGTCAATTACTTTAGATTTTATTGTTCTGTAGTTTAGGGTTGAAGCTCCTTCCAACTTACTGCTTTACGACCTTGTGAAGAGCTACATAATTTTTTGTAATCAAAACACGTAACTTCGAGAACACAACACCAGTAAAAATATTCATTTAAACTGCAAATCTCAGTTATTTGATATTGATATAAATATATATATTCATACTCTGAGTTCAACTTGAAATCAGTTAGACATACTCTACAAAACATTCGTGAAATTACTAATTTTTTCAAAACCACACAATGATTTTCATGTGTGTTTTATAGTTTTGTTTGATTTCTATACTTCAGTCATTTCTCTCTCACATTCAGTAACTGCCATACACAAACATGCAAAAAACACACACTCGGCAAACATATGACTGAAAGCAATACACAATCTCTTACACATTGTGTGGTTTCAATCAATATTTGTATGTGATATAGATAATCTGTTGATGTTTATCTTTACAAAGACAAATGTAAACAAAGCATGATTTAAATTGACGGTCGAAAGTCTAAATAGTCAATTAGTCATAACTTAAAAAGGATCATATTCCATTATGGAATGCATTCATTTATCGGAATTTGAAAAACACAACTAAAAGATACACTAAGATTAGTAGAACTTATGATTAGAACAAGTAGAAGCCTTCAGCAGTTGTGTATTATTTAAAACAAAACGTTTAAACTACTTCATTACATTAGATAAAAACGAAAAATACTGTTCTTAACCGTTTCTTTATTCGAAATCGTGAAACTTAAGGTTAAATATATGCATACGTTGCTCGTGTTTAAGCATAGATGTATTGGACTCATTGCTTGTATACTCTCGAAGAGCAGCTAAGCAGTTCTGAGAATAAGATTTAAGAATTTCTGGATAAGAGCCTAAAACATAAGTAGTTGGTGCGCTCAGAATATTCTTCAGGTATGAAAAGGAATAGTTTGTTCCCATGTCTTATTATGACTGACAGTGGATGTAGGTTCGACAAAGAATATATTTTTTCGATCAAGCCATAAGCATCAACCTACAAAGTAATATGATTTTATTATCAATGTCTTGAAGATTACAGTAATGGTAATTTATTATTTACTAACTTATATGTCATGATTTACAGTGACACAGAAGAATTTATGCTTTTTTATTTCAATCTTTAGTACAATATTATTTAACATATAACACTACTTAATTTTATTCACTCTTTGTACTAAATTATGTTTAGTTCCCTACAGCTACATATATTAGTATTACGGCTTTAGGTAGAATTATGTAGATATAGAAATTTAAAACAACACACTACTATTCCAGCCATATCAGTGATCAAATCATATAAACCATTAGTAATTAGCAAATCAAACACTTCCGACAACGATTACAACTTTACCATAAGTAAAATTATTCATTTTTCTAAGTATAATACTTACATGAAAGTAGAGTTCAGTCCTATCTATCCCGTTAATACATATAATAACGACGAGACCATATATTATGTGTGAACCAGTCTGATCTAGGATAATAAGTCAAATCCATATTGTTAAGTAGTATAGCCGATGTCCATTCACGATGAAGAACCTAATCCTGACTTTTAACTATTCGTCCTATTCTGGATTCCTCACACTAATTTATAAACAGTTTGAGCGCTAGTAAGTAGACAGATCTCATCAAGGTCACTTTAACGCCAATCAAAGGTCAGTCGCAAATTACAGTATCACTATAATATCTTCCTGAGGAAAAAGATGAACTATAGTGGAGAAAAAGTATTTGTCGATGCACTCATCAGGAAATATGTTATTCAAAAAATTCCAGAATAACTTCTTCGTTAGTTGGTATTCGCCAGTAAGTTTTTTCGAACTTTTAAGGATGAACGACTAGACACTCTAATATTAACTGCCGATTAACAGATCGATTGTTGTGTGTAATGCACTTTATTCCATATTGGTTATTTATCTTAAGACTGAACAATCCCATAAATCGAAATTGTATAAAATTTCGAAATTTTTTGTAATCAAACTTCAAGAAACGTAATTTATGATGCTCAAATAAATCAAAAAGGGAAATGTCTCCCTAGATATTAAAAGGAAATAAACACATTTCATTACATACTCAATAAATTAAGCATTTCAATTTTATACTGTAGTGAGTTTAGTTTTCTAACAAAGAAATATACATCTACATTTCATGTAAAGAAAAATACTAAATCTAAAATTAAAGAAAAATGAAATTGAAAAGAATTAAAAAATATTAAATTTGATGCTTTTAATATAGGTAGAATTTTTTGGTGAAGCTGAGAGTCTTTGTCAGGCAATCATTCATGATTCACAAACAGCTGAATCAAACTATTTATTAAAGGTTTGTGGTGATGGAAATTCATATTCGTCTCTACGGTTTACATGTTTTCTTTCAAAATTAATTTGGCCTGTACAGAACAACAACAAAGTACCTGTATCAGAAGATATTTCTTCACCTCAAATCATATTTGATCGTGATGCATTTCGTGAAACTTTACTACGATTTTATGAAAAAGATGTGGTTCCAAGATGGTCAAAAGATATGGGTAACGGAGGTAAGAATCGTTGAGATTTATGTTAGTTAACAAACTTAAACAGTGATTTTGATTTTAGAGAATTTTGTTTGAGGGATTTTTACCATTCAAAGTCAGACTTGGGACAATTTCAATTGTAGGAAGAAACATCAAGCCTCTTAATTATCAGTTCATCAATAAGTTTCAGTTGTATTCGGAATGAGCGTAAATTTTGTTAGAGATTATTTAGCTATACGTATATTCATTAGTCTATAAACACTGATGTATCAAGTTACTAGTACAAATGTCTAAGACAATAGTGTTAAATTATTACCATAAGTAGACCAAGTTTTTCTATAGTTCACAGAACTTGTATCCTAATGAAACAAAATACTTGAAAATGATAAAAAACTATAAATCTTTTATTTATCAGCTAATAGTTCCTTCGTCATGTATACAATTATTTTTTTATTTTATATGACAGACCATATGGAGGCGAATTTCATATTAGGTGGTACAACTAACAACTGGTGAAACGAGAACCATTACGAAATGTAAATTCTAGACAAGATATTCAGTTTTGTTTATCCGAATTAACTCGTTAATATCTACAGCGACAATTTATTGCAAGTTTTAAAACAAAAAATCATTCATTCAAAAAGATTCAATTTGATTTTACTTTCTTTTTTTTGTTTTATCTGTAGTAGTCGATCATTTTATTGAAGACGTGCTGGACCTCCAAGTGAACGGTTCTGAATTATCTACCATTCCACTGACTCATTTAAATTTACGTTTAAGACTTTCTGAAAGAATGGAATCTATTGCTTTATCAAATCGTTTGGCAGATCAACATAGTCGAGATCAATTAAAGCAGTTTAATGTTTATTTTATACAACTACTTTCTTACTTAGCTGGACAATGTTAGTGAAGCTTTTCTCCACTTAATAATTTCATCTATGCATATATAACTCATTGGTGATCATTAGTAAAAGGTATCAAAAAATGAGAAGTACTTTCATATAGCTTATAAAAAGACTGACGTAAGCATAAACTATTCGCAAGAATTCGATTTCACAAATCAAATAGAGATATTAATTTTTTGATGAAGGCATTTGGTAAGAATCTCAAATTCACTTTAGAGTAGTATCAGTTGGGACTTATTGGCAAAATGTACATAAGATTTTAGTAGAAATTTTTATCTTAGTAGGAGCCGAATTCATGTCACGTAGCCTAACAAGTAGAGGTGATACCGTTGTTCATTTGGTTCTCAATTGACCTCCTGAATAACTGATATATATATATATATATATATATATATATATATATATATACATTAATTAGTCACTGAGTAGTAAGCGCTATTTTGTGTGAGATATATTGTACAGATCAGATAGTATCATTGACATAATTGTGTTATATGGTGAATATTTTAAAAATTTATTCAAGACTAGTGAATTTTGTATCTACTGTTTGTATTAAGCCACTGTCTAATTGAAAAGAAGTTAAAGTCGGTGAAAAAATAAATCACCTTATTCATCATGTGCTTGGTATCACTTACTATTACCGATAAATGACATTTTGAAAGCTTTTTACACAAAACTAGTTAAAGTTTAAGCATTATTTAATGACGCTTTGAATCTAAGTACTTATATTTCTAGATATAGTCATATAGAGGTTTGTAAAAGATAAATTATTTTTGTTAGCTTTTTAAATGACAAAACAGAATCTTTTGTTTGAACAAAATAAAAATCTCCGTAATACAGTGAACTGTAGCTAAATAACACGTTTTGAAGTACTGACTGAACTTATGCATTTGATATTGTACAAACTGAAGTCTTCTAATCTACTCTTCAAATGACTCTTTAAGTTTTTGAAGAGTCACAGATTAGTTATACACACACCATGATAGTATCACAACATTTTCAAAATAATACTTTTTTTCAAAAATATTATTTATTATCAATTAAATAGTTGCAAAAATTTCTTAAAATAAACACTGAAATTTCAAAAAATTGTAAAATGCATCTTAAACCAAAAAGGAAATATAAAAATTGATGCACTTTGCAAATGACATAATTCAACATTTATTTTAAATTACATTCATTCAAACTCTGCATGATTGTGCTTCAAAATATTTGTAAAACACCTAATCACTAGGTAATATTTCGCCTTTATTAATGTGAAAATCTCAAGACAGACCTTAGCGTAGTCAAGTAAAAACTATGATTTAGTATAAAATAGCAGCTTACCAACTTCATGATAACATTAGACTATATAACCCAGCTACAAGCAAGTAATTTATCACACAAAGTAAACTTTGAATGCACATCTACCAATTTCTTATATTTTTATTGTTTGTTATTATTACTTTTTAGTATATATTCAGTGGAATTTAGAAAATGCTTATTCCTCCCGTACTCTGTCAACTTTACCTTATTTCACCAGAGCATTACAACCAATATTTGGATTAAATATACTATTAAGTGATGAAGGTGTAGATCCATATTATTTAGAACAAATAGAAAATGGTTTAGATATGCGAAGTACTGAATTGGTTGCATGTCACTCCACCCAGACATGGTTAAGAGTTGCTGAACTAATAGGCAACCATGATGAAGAGATTAATAAGAAAGCAATCATGTTATTAAAATCAATGAATGAAAAGGTAAATAGTTATAATGAGTTTTATCATATTTTACAATGCAATATAGTTTATGCAATTATTTAAGCAATAAATAATGATTTTTAATTAAATTTATTGTGTCAAAAAGGTAGTTCTTTTTATTTCATCCAATAAAAAGGGCAAAATTATGAATGCGAAATTTGAAATAACATCATATATCATAACATGAGTATAATCTATTGTATTTAAAATGCTCCGAACACGGATAATTGATGAATGTAAACCGAAAATCATTGCAAATTCGTTTATTAAATTTATACTACTATGGATAAAATGATAATAGAAAAAGAAACTAAAGACTAAGAATGGTTTACATATATCTAGCATGTTGTTTACGATTAACACTGAGCTACTTTTACAATCCCAACCAATTTGATTGGTTTTTCAAGTAACAGCTTCGTATTCGTACAATGTAAATCGAGAAGTATGGCAATTTTTGATTATAAGTGTACACTATCAAACAAACTTGAAAACTGATGAAAGTTATCTAGTGCTTCTTAGTTTTTAATAGTCCTTTAGTTACAAATCATTTACAAATCACTCTCAGAAAGAGAGATATTTAGTCAAAAACATAGACAAATTTAATGATGAGCCTTATGAATATGATTGGTATATACTGCTTATTTGTGTATACATCAATGGAATTCCACAGGTTTTCTAAACATATTCTACTTTCTTTGTAAAAAAAACTATTTTACAGATAAATAGAATTTTTCAACACTTAACAAATTCAAAACAAAAGTTACGATTATCAAATGATGCACAAATACCTCAGGAAATAAACAATCATCATAGTGATTATTATTATTATGATAAACAACCAATTCAAACTAATAATAGAAATACAGTACGACGTCCAATTTTTTATTCTATGGGACCACCTATTCATATTCAATATTGTCTGAATAAAAATTGTATTGAACAAAGTTTAAATTCCCTATCACCAATATGGATTAGTATGATATGGGGTTTAGAACAAAGATCTAGTGTTAAACGAATAGCCGCTTTAAAAGCATTAACTATACTCATAGAATCACAAATAAGAGAAACAACAAAACCAACACATAATAATAATAATAATAATAATAATAATAATACAAACACAAATACAAATGATAGTATTACAAATTCAACATTATTAAAACTTTTAAACAATATGCATTCAAACGATCCAGATCCATTAGTGAAGAGTTTAGCTGGACAAATTATTGACAGAATTACTACAAGATTTAATGCTGAATCACACAATGAACAGGTAAGTTCTTTTATACTGATACAACAGTTATCAGTGAAACGATGAATGAAAAAATAAAAACTGATAAAAAAAGAAACTATTTCAGATGTCTACATATTGTTATTCAAAAAATATACCCCGCATAACAATTATACAAGAGTTTATTTTTGGATCGGTGAATATGACAACAACAGAGACATAACGATGTATAAAAACTGGCGGAAAACTACGCATCATTAACGAACGAAGAACAAAAAATATATAAGTAACTAATAGATATAATAAAAATAACTACAGAGAATATGAGTTAAAAAGTAAATGTGGAGTAATAATTAAATGTTGAGGATTAGAGTTGACAAAAAGTTATATTGTGTGGAAACTCATTGTCATAGATTATGAATCATTCATTTTTTGGTGATTTATAACCACTTTCTAGTTTATCTCGAAACCAAATTGCCACTTCCAGTCTTTTCCACCAGTGAAATCGATTCGAAGCTGAGCAGTAAAGATTATCACCAAAGTTTGTATAATCATTTAAACTGAATAAATACAATGTCGATAAGGTACTATCAAGATGTACTACTTTTCTTCTGACATTTGACGTTTAAACGAATGTACTGCGTATATAACATAAAAATGCATGTAAATATCACTGTCAAGGTTTGGTTTTGATAGTTTCAAATAAACTGAGCATTAGATGAATTGCTGATAATAAAAAATTGATATCTTTCGTAATTTTTTATGAATAGAAATTAAAAATCTTGACGTTTCACCACTTAGTTCAAATCGGTTTTTTTTCAGAAAACAGATAAACAACCGAATTAAATTTGTACTAATTTAATGCATTAATAAATATCATGAGTAGTTTTTAGATTGTTAGTTTAACTTATTTCATTAGTAGGCAGTCAGTGATCAAGTTTTCTTCTTTATTTTCAGATAATTAAACCTAGTCGTCTCCTTAAAACAATATGGGCCAAATTTAGTATTGCAGAAAATCTACCCTCCAAACCATCATATATAGTTCAACGATAATAACAGATTAACCATAATCTATGGCAATTTTTACAGTTACTATATTTTCATATATAGTTTTGTACAGCTATTTATTTTTGGTGCTGTAAGATAACGAAAAATTTCTATTATGAAATATTTACACCTTTAAAATTCGGAAGAAAACCAAGGCAGACAGATGTAAGCAATCAAAAAAGTCAAACTATGTCTTGCGATATTTATTACTAAATTATTTACAACTTGTTCAACATAATTCTGAAAATTTAGAAAAACGATCTCCTTTTATACAACTAGGTATTCTGGGTTCAACTGTAAAGCCGAGTAAAAAAATTACAGATTCGTTTAGTTTGTAAATACTACTATATTTCTAATAAATGACTATGATAATATTGAACAACACCCTATCTAAAAAAACCCAAAGTCTTTTCATCAACTGTAAACAGCTTACAGTCACGAAGAATAGTAATACACAGATTTAACAGACTTTAGTTAATGAAGTTGAGATATATATTTAAAATGGGATAGGAAATAATTATAAGAGGAAGAAGACACAAGTTTTGACATTAAACATAATTAAATTTGGTATGTACTTATGCTCAAAAAGACAAATTTTTCTCCAAATCTATCAATGGCATTGGATATATGATAAAACTTAGTTGTTCGGTAGTGTATTTATGATATCTGGAAGTTCAAACTAATGATGACCTTTATTAACGCACTGAATTATCACCATCGAAAAATTCCAAGATTGATATAACAGTTGGTTACTAAACCGAATAAATTTTACACAACTAGTGGACTATTCAAATCATCTAAACTTATTTACTGAAAACATGAGATATAACTACTCAGAACCGTTTGTACTAGTGTATTCATATTCACCATTAGTTGAAACTAACTTATACAATCACTGGGACATGATAGGTAGATGTAGGCTACCTGGTTGGGGTCCGTGAGACGTAAGTCACTAATGGTTAGAGACCTTGAACGACATGCCTCAAAATTGTTTGCAATGGCGCACGTGCATCCACTCTTTGTGTTCTCTCAAATCGTAATGCTCAGAATTCATCATAATCTCTATCTTCTCTTTCTATATTCATCTGACTGAATTATACTTCTCGAATCATATCTTCGCTCCCTAATCTTCTCCATTACTGCTAGTACTTCTACTATCGCTACCACTAATGACTAAGGTGTAAAAAGATGTATTTCAATGTCCCAGGTAATGGGTATAAGACTATTAAGTCTTCACTTTCGACAAGAAAGTTGATCCCTATTTTAAATTCAAAACTTTATATTTAAATTCAGAGAACATACCATCAGTATTCACGATAAATACTACAGAACAAATCTAAACTCATATGAAAGTTTTACTAGTCCTTCATAGAGAGAAAATATTTAACCTTCAAACATTATTTCTACCAGTGCTGCAAAATGTAAACATGATACTTAGTTGACAAAAAAAACATAAACAACCGAGAATAAATTGACAACTTGAAAAGAAAACAGGAAATGAAGATATTTCAGCAGACAGTAAACTTAAGTACAGTGATGCTTCATTATCTTCATCATTTACTAGTTAATTATGAGACGTATTTACAACCTTCTATAATTACGAAAGAACACTGAATTCAACCATTATATTTAAATACTATTGAACAAGAAAAGAAATTAAAAGTAAACACTAAGTAAGATTTATTTTAAATGACAAAATGATATATGTATCGGCATATATATATATATATATATTATTGAAGGAAAAAACAAGAGAAATTATACCTTCTTTACATGATTTGGTTAATAAAGATTACTAACATTGTCATTGAAAATGATGAAAGTCTAACAGTTAAGTGTTTTAGCAAATTAAATAAACAAATGAATAAACCAGGTAGTATTTTCCATTTAGTTTTATTGCTAAATAAAGAGAAATGTAAAAGTAAAGACCAACAACGAGAGAATGAAGGGTGAAAATGCATGATATAAAAAACCGGTTTGTTCAAATACAGATGAATTTGTTAAAATACCAAAATATTATCGTTATCATTAAAACTCTTATAAACTAGGTGACAAGAAGGACATTAAAAATGAATCTACAACTTATCATCAGAATTATTTATGACAGTTAAATTAGACTAGATGGAAGTCAGGAGAGAAAAAAATATACAAAATAAAATATAATTAGGCGATTGGAAAGCGAATAGAACAAAATGCAATGACATTAAAATAACAGTATTTAATTTCAATGAAACAAAATTACATGCCTATAATAATTAGCAAAAAACAATGAAATCAAGTCATGATTAAAATGCAGTAAATACCAACTAGTATTATATTAAACTCAATTCAAAATAATGTAAATGTATGCAAATGTCATATATCTTAGTGTACACCACTGATATCATTATGCGTTCAAAGCACAAAAAGAAAATTGCCATCAAGAAAAAAACTTAATTAAAAAGAAACTGGACTAGAAATTTCTGAGATGTTGATTGTGTATTTATTTTAACTTGAAGAGGTAGCGTGTATTGCAATAGAGAATAGAATATATGATAAAAACATACACACAAAAAAAAACTTTACAAAAGTAAGAAAAAAGTGTGGAACAATTAGTTAACTGAACAAAGAGCTCGATAGGTAGTAATAGTACAAACACTGGTAAGACCGTTTATAATAACAATAATAAAGAAAAAAGTATCTATCTACCACGACCACCGGATTTAGAAGATAGAACTTTATGCTTTCTATTCACATTTCTAGGCTGCAGCTTTAAATCAGCCATAATAGAGGAGAAATCAGATAAACGTTGGTAATCTTCATCTTCATCTGTTAGACGAGCTAAAGCTTCATCTAGTGAAATTGTATCTGTTACACGTTGTAATGCATTACACATTGGACGAAATTGTGATGGAATAACATTAGGCGGTTTTTCAAAGTCACTGTGACCACCACAATGATCAATGGGCGAGAAGGTGGGATTTGCAGCAGCCTTTGGAAGTCGAAGTGGACAAGGAAGCATTTCAGGCATCACAGTTAAGTGTAAAACAAGACATGCAAGCGATGGCCATTCTTTATCTAATCCCTAAAATAAAGTTTAAAAAACCAGCATATGTAAAAGGAAAGAAAGGATTCGTATTGGTGCACTACGACAAAATGTAACAATCAATTAAAAAAATATCCTAGAATCATCTTAAGCAATGTAATGATAGCAATTTAAACCCCGAAAATACGTTCAAGAAAAGAAAAAGAAGATCAACTCATTCACTTTTGACACACTGAATATAGTTCACTACACTGACATCTGTAAATACTGAATTTCAAGGACATATATCTTGGATCTTAGAACGTCAATAACTTATCAAGTAAATTACATTTAGGATACAGAAATAAATACGGAAATGTTGAAATCTAATTGTGACAAAGATTCCACATTCTAAACCTTACTCTGCAATAAAAGTTATCATAATTAGAATATTAAGAAACGGCACATTCATACAGTATTGTAGTTACGACAAGGACCGGGTAGTATCTGAACGACTTTCAGTAAACATGATAGCATCATGTGAAATTGATTATAGTTGATAAAGAGTTTGAACTAAGAGAAAATATGTGAAAGAAAGAAACAACTATCATTTAATAAAATGTGATGACTCTCTGTGCCGTCTACTCAAGAGCATGAACTACATACAACCGACAATATAATGCAGGTATGTTCTAGTACCAACTGTAGCTGTCTACTTCCCGTGCTGTATACAACACATTATAACTAATTAATAACCAATAACTCCGGAACTTTAGTAACCAACAGCTCACCGGATCACTATTTGTGATGAGAAATGCTTCTATATGCAGCATAGAATCGGTCAAACCGATAAGTCAGGAATATTTCAAAACATAATAAGTACTATTCTGTTTACTTACTTTCAGTTTCACACCACCTCCAGGTGTTTTCTGGATAAGAAAGTGTGTTATTCCGCTTGTAGAAGATGGATAAACTGATGTCATTTGGGGAACTGTATCTTTTATTCGATTTGATGATATATGTGGTTGTCGAGAATGAAAGCAGCCACCAACTACTTGTCCATTACTAGAACGTACTGATAAAGCAAAACTATTCGGGTGACTTCCGCTATCTCGAACAACAAAACTTCCAGGCTATCGATGAAACAATAAAAAACTATGTTAAACAAAGATAAGATCTATCCAAAATGATAATAAAAAGAGATTACGCATTAAATTTTTACTTAAAATGACACAAACTAATTACTACTATTACTCACAGGCGATTCGAAGTAGTCAAATTATTTGATCTCTAAATAGCTCGCAATTTTAATACGACACAATATTATTGTGATGGAATAAAATAACAAAATTTAAGTGATCCACTTAAAGCCTTATAAAAGGAAGAGAGCCTTAAGGACAAGAAATAATGGCAAACTATCTCTTAATATCTACGGTATTTGCTGATTTAGTTTAAAATCGTCGAGACACATCAGTAATGATTAAGTGTGATCCAGCAACTTATTAAAAATTCATGCAATGAGTTGTAAGAAACACAAGCCAATGCAAAATATATCAGGACCGAAATCATAATACTGTACAGTGTGTAATCAGAAACATTAATGCTAATTGAATTTTATACAATGATTTTCATAACATGGCTACTACATAGTTTAAAAGTAAAGTATAATTATGACTAGAGTTCCAAATAATATGGACAAGATTAACTGGAGAAATTTATGTTGTTCGAACATATTTACCAGCATACATTGAAAGAGGTTCCGTATGAGTTTTCAATCTAAATAACAACAATATAAGCTAATTGATGAACTAAAAGTACGAATTATTTGCAATACTTCAGAATACAGATGTTTAAGTGAGATAAATTCGAAAAGTAATCAAATAACCTTTTCAGGTCTATCAGTAACATTAAGTACTGTTCCTGATAACAACGTTACTCTATTAGAAATGAAGTTAGGAAGTTTATTTATCACATAAGCAGCATAACTAAACCATCTCCTATAGTTCACGGTAACATAATGAGGCAAACAAAAACCCATTAGAAAAAGATGGATACGGTAAATAAACATACGGGTTGTCTGGCAAGCATTTCCAAGGCCTTTTCACGTGGTAAATCTGGAAGGTACCAAGGAGCATGCGATAACTCATTGATATCGTCCAGAACATTTTGTTCAGAGACGTTCGGGGTGGGGCATGGAGATGTAGGAGGAACAGGTGGATGCTTTTCATTTGGTCTCAGGAACTGATTCTCATTCCCAGGATGTGGGTTATTATCAAACATTGCGCACGTATGTTCACCACTCGTGCAACCTGGAGTGCACGTACAACGTTTGCCAAACGGCAAGCTATTATCAGAACCTGAGTCCGGACGACCAGAGCCAGATGTAGCAGTTGAGCACCCAGTAGTTGATGATGATGTTGTGGTTGCCGTAGATGTATTGGCTGGAGCATTATCATTGGTAAGTTCTGTGTTACTTTCTTGAATATCCTTTTCTGGAAAGGGAGTTTCTTTATCAAGAGCAATCCCACCACAGCTGCGGTGATCAGCCATATCATAGAAGTGTTGTGATAATCTAATTGATATTTAGGAAATCAAAATAACCCAAATTATTAAAATAAGATTTATTAAATCTGTACCAAATTTTTATGATGTCATTAGTTCCTTATGTAAGCAGACCAACTAATTAACACTGAGTTTTATAGACGAGTATAATGTGAGTCGTACACCAACTAACTACATTATTTGTTTCCTGTTTGCTCCGCCTACTTGTAATGTATCAGTTAGAATCAATAACCTGATTTTTGAACATTTTAACTGTTAAGCTATTGCTTCGGGGCAATTAATTAGCGTTAAATTTCCTAATTCTATAAAGGCATGGTAATAAAAATTCCTTATTCTAAGTACCTTCATGTTGTATCTTTACGTTCCTGTCGCAACTTAAGTGGTTCTCCCTGCGCCTCACATAGTGCGGACGTTCCATGTACCTATATTAATTGTGGTACTGGTTTTTATAAGAGGCGTTGAAGTGGATAGAACACACTTTGCGGAAATCCCAAACTGCATGACAAGACAACCTCTTGCATGGAATCCTCAAGGCACAAGGAGAAGAAGGCCAAAGAACATATTGAGCTGAAAATCGGAGGCAGACATCAAAAGAATGAACAGCATATGTCAACAACGGAAAAGCAGAGTCCAAGACAGAGTTGGCTGAAGAATCCTGGTCAGTGGCCTGTACTCTTCAAGAGGTGAAGAGCGTAAGTAAGCAAAGCAAGCAGTAGAAAATCACTGGAGAAAAGCTAGTATGATGAGGTAATTCAAATAGCACAAACAATTCTATCGTATTTTTAATCAGTATAATGCAAAACTGAAGAAAACTTTTAGACAGAAAAGTGAACTTACACAGTTGTCGTAGATTTAGGTCTAAATGATAAAACATCAGTAAGATCTCCAGCCATTTTATGTGGGGTTTGATTTACTTCTGTTTCAGGTAACTTTTCATGATGTTTCAAAATTTCACCTTGATGGTTTGCAGCTAAGGTAGTAGATGCGATATTCTGAGCTGGAGTTGCTGATGACTGAGAACGTGGCGGTGGAGGAGGTGGCTTTACCTGTTCACTCTTTACTATGAATCCTTCTGATTCGTTAACTTTATAAGCAGTAGGATCAACAGAGTCACTTGAACCTACAGGTTGTTCACATGTACTTGTTGTTGCATCTCGTAATTTATGACGATGATGGTGTTTGTGATGCTTATGTCTGTAAAAATTAAAAATAATAACGAAACGTATGAACGGGCATGAGTTGTACCGAGATCTAATCAGTTTTAAAACTGTAGGATATTTCTGATTACTGAATAACAAATTTAAACAAAAATGTTAATAAAAGTAATATTGAGTCTGAAGTAATTTAATATGTTTGATATGCAGAAATTTCGGCCACAAGAAGTAAAGAGTGTAATAGAAATCAGTTGGAGATTGCATGAATAACTATTTTGGAAATCAAACAGAAATGTATGGTAAAAATGATCGACTTATTAAAGTCTTCCGTTACAGTGGAGGTAAAATGTTTGGAGGATAATGATAAATACTTATTATGAGAGATAAAATATTAAACCACGTGGTTTGCTTTCAATTCCATTAGCTGGTGACTGATCTAAAAAAAACTGTATCTTATATTTGCTTACATTTTGAGTACATTTTAATCGTCTTCATTGAGATTGAATAGTTTTGTATAATAATGCTATTTTAGTGGAAAGATGTAGGTTTTTAACGGCCTAATAATTTGTCCTCTGATATCCATACAGTTAAATAATTGTCACACAGACTCCAGTTAAATCAGTTGAGTCGTCTAGATATAATATATCTGTGAAATAATAAAAGCCAGGGACAGTAATGTAGGATGATTACATTTAAACATTGAGTGAAGTTGAAAATCTTACAACAAGAAGTTTTAAAATGTTTTCTCTGAAGTTTGATAGTTTTGTTAAGAAGTGTGAGAAAAATTGAGTTAAACAAAAGAATTATTCATAAGTTGGTATTTTTCCAGCATTTTTTCCAATCGATATTCCTTTAGGGTAAAAAAAAAGTTTGATCCAATGTACTATTAAATTTATGACAACTAATATCGGTCTAAAGCATACTTATAATTTCTCATTAAGAATTTGAATTATTAAACTTCTCTATGTTATCACTGTTGAGATGAATACGGACAAAAATGCTTTATTGTAAGCTATGTCAGTACGTAAAACAATCGAAGCTCAAAAGAAACATTTTAAAATGTTGGATAAATAAATCACCCAATAATCAATACGAATCATTACTTGTGCGGTTTATTTCCTCTATGTCGGTCAATAGCACCACAATCTTCACTTGACGGAACATTGTTCACTTCACACGGGACAGAAACTGGTATCTGGTTACTTGATGTACAATGATCAGCTTCTGGTAAAGGCGGAAGTGGTTTGCTAAACATCGATATACGATCGGTTTGATTTAAGTTGACAGCGGAAACAGCTTGACTGAGAAATAAATAATAGTGAAACAAGTCAATATAAAACTTTGTTATAGTAATGAAACAAGCTAATCGGATTATATGGAAGATGAAGCGAAAAATTAGGGGTAGATCAGAGTACAAATGAAATAAATAGTTAAATTACGCGCTTGAACTGATATGGCTTAATTAACCAAATATAGGTCTGTGTACTCCTATTTAGTTACAATGTTTGAGGGTTAATGATACCATTAGGCTGTCCAAACTGAAGTGGACGGAACGGTATTTGGACCTGTAATTTAATGATCGCGAACCAAGTGCTTCAGACGCTATCCCACTGCTCCACTAACTTAAGTGAGTATCCATCATATAGCTGTTTAACAATTAATGGTTTTTGACGTTTAGCAATGCTAAACAATCTTATTAATAATTCTAATATCAAAATGAATTTTTCGAAGTTCTAGTGACTGAAGCCGTGACCTTTGAAGAAACGAATCATGAAGTGATGATTACATGCTTATGTTCCATCGCAGATTGACCAAAGTTGGACACGACCAGCATAAAGCCACATGCGACATGCAAACCTTAGACAACCTGTCAGTAGCGAATTTCATTTTGTTGATGATAGAAATTTCTTAAAGCAAAGATAAGTCCATAGATGTTAAAGGGTGATTCTCATTTTCGATTTTTAATTTTCAGAAAAACGATGATTTAAACATATACCCGTCACCGATTGAGGCCAACTATGATTTATTCATAGCATTCATTATTCCACGTGCGCACTTACGTTCGTAGTCAAGTGAAACCATTCGGAAGGTAAAACTGTTCCATATGATAATGACAATAACAATGGGTCTTCTAAAAACTACCAAATAAACTGTCATAAATATGATGGATTATCTGGTAATGTTAATAAAGTTGTCTACATGAGTAAATGAACTTGCATTTTACATTTCACGTTGTGAAACTGATATTAAACACCGTTAAATTAGTCTTCAGAAGTCTATTAAGGGATTCTTATATTGCGCGTTCCCAATCTAATTCCGCAATACAGCACTGTTACTAAGTTGAGCAATAAACCAGTTTAGTAAGTTGGATTAATAGTGAACCATTCTCAAAGTTTAGGATTACCATAAATGTTACAAAGTATCACTCGAAGTCACTTAACAGAGAGACTTCATCGATGCTAGTGAAATCAATGCGTTAAGCTAATTTTTTGGCGAAGGTAGGAAACTTTTGACCCTTTTTACCGTTATTAAAATTAATGGTCATGAGTATTAGGAGACTATGACCATTACTATGGGAACCTATGGTTTTCGTATCAGTCGAAATCGTAAGCAACGTAAGGTTTAGGCATAAATGTGCATTTAATCAAGTTCCCACTAAAACTCAACATAGTATCAGTCAAAAGACAGTACTGCCTTTCTCGTAACAAAGACTGTCCGAGAAGCTGACTCCGAATTGCCACCAATAACTGAAGATAGAATATAAGTCAGTCAGCCAATCAGTTACAACATAGGATTTCGTACATGAGTACATATGTTCAGGTTGCTATACCGAATCAGCACAAAGACGCAATTCTCTCTCTCTCACCATCGGTTACTTTCATTTCGCGGACTACAATCAGGTAGCCTACATCTACCGACATGACTCAGTTCACTTGTCAGTGGCTTCATGGATTTGCGTCAAGCTTTGATGTGGCCACCCCTAGCAGTCAAGCAGTCAGTCGTTAGGCATTCGTAACACATGCCCCGACCACCTCAACTGATGAAGTTTCAATACTTCATCTATTGATTTGCCATCCCTGACTAGTACTCGTTTCCTAAAAACAGCATTGCTTACTCGGTTGTCTCACGATACACGAGCAGTGCTTCTAAGATATCTATGATTAAATACTAGTAGCCTACGAATATCTTATACTCTTACCGTCCACGTTACGCGTCCATATTGGAGAATGCAGTGAACTGCTGCGCAATACACTCGACCTTTGGTTAGCAAACTGATATCTCCCTAACGCCATAAATGACGTAAATTGGCGACAGCCAATCAAGGCTTCCGTATCCGTGCTGAGATTTCGTCAGTAACCAGTCCATCAGCACTGATGAGACTCTCCAGAAAAGTGAGCCGGCCTACACGCTCAACTACTTCACTCCCTATCACTAGTAAAGGTGACGATGCAACCCAATCTTGGGGCAACATCTTGCGTTTCGACGGGGAGAACCGCATCCCGAACATGCTTGCATTATTACTTAGGGTAGTCAGAAAACTCTGCATTTTGTCAGCGTCTTCGCCGAATATTAAGATTTCATCAGTATATTCTAAGTCATCAGGCGTGTCTCTTGGTAAAAGGTCCACTCCTGAAGAGTCAAACGATGATAATGTCAACTATAGAAGCAACAACGATAAACGAGAATGGAGAAAATGAACGGCCTTGACGGACACCACTAAGAGTAATGAATTCCGATGACACTTCGCCACAGGCTCTCATCCGGCCAGTGGTGTTCGAGTAGAGAGCCTGCAAAAGTTAGTGTACTTATTTGGCACACATTTCAATGACAGACAAGGCCACAGAACCTCACGAACGACAGAGTCGAATGCCGCTTTAAGGTCGAAAAATAATACTATTGTGGGCGTCTGAAAGAGTGTCTTTGTTCTAAGACCTGACGTAGTGTGGATATTTGATCTATAAATCCATGTCCAGGTTGAAAACCAGACTCGTTTTCTCTAGCCTGCTCGAGGCCAATATTTTAGATACTGTATTAGTCAAACTGTCAGTCAGTCAGTCAGATGCAACGTAGAACTTTGCACCTAAGTAGATCAGTTCCTGTTGCCATACCACATCAGCACAGAGATGTAATTGTCAATTCAAATCCAATAGTAGTAGAGGTAGTAAAGGTAATAGAAGTAATCGGAGAGGTTAGGATTAGAAGATACTATTCACGAAGTATGATTCAGTGAGATAAGTTTAGAAATTCAAAACTAAAGGTGTTGAAGAATCGAGAAGATTAGGATTTGAGAGAACACAAAGAATAAATGCACCGGCGCCATTGCGAACGATTTTGAGCCATGTCATTCAAGGTCTTTAACCATCGATTATTGTCATCTCGCGGACCCCAACCAGGTAGTCGACAATTACCAACATGGCTAAGTCCACTCGTCAATGACTTCATGCATTTCTGCCATGTTTTGGTCTGGCCGCCCCTAGCTCTCTTCCAACCAACTCCTACACTACAAAACAAAGCTCTTCGAGGCAGTCGGTGGTTAGCCATACGGAACATATGTCCCAACCACATCAACTGATGAAGTTTCATCACTTCATCTATTGATCTGCCATCCTTACCTAGCACCCCGTTTCCTAATAACAGCATTGCTCACTCGGTTGTCCCAAGATACACTAGCAATGCTTCGAAGACACCTATGATCGAGAACAAGTAACCTACGAATATCTTCTACTCTCACTGGCCATGTTTCACAGCCATATAGGAGAACGGAGCGAACTGCTGCACAGTACACTCGTCCTTTGATTAGAGAACGGATATCACGCCTACGCCATAAGTGACGCAGGTTAGCAAAAGCCAATCGAACGTTCTGTATCGAGCTGAGATTTCGTCAGTCACTAGGCCATCAGCACTGTTGAGACTCCCAAGATAAATGAAGCGGTCTACACGTTCGATTACTTCACTCCCTATCACTAGTTCAGGTGCCGATGCAACCCAATCTTGAAGCAACATTTTGCATTTCGAGGGGGAAAACCGCATCCCGAACATGCTTGCATTGTTGCTCAGGATAGTCAGAAGACTCTGCATTTTGTCAGCGTCTTCACCAAGTAGGACAATGTCATCGGCATATTCTAAGTCAATAAGCGAGCCACCTGGTGGAAGGTCTACTCCTGAAAATTCAGACGAGGATAATGTTATTTCTAGGAGCATATCTATGATAAAATTAAACAAGAATGGAGAAAGTGGACATCCCTGACGGACACCACTTGATGTAGAGAATTCCGGTGACAGTTCGCCATAAGCCCTCACCCGACCAGTGGTGTTCGAGTAAAGAGCTTGTATAAGGTTAATGTACTTCTGTGGTACACCTTTCAATGACAGACACTGCCACAGAACCTCACGATCAACAGAGTCAAATGCCGCCTTAAGGTCTAGGAAAACAACTATTGTAGGACGCCTAAATGTGTGTCTATGTTCCAGGACCTGTCTGAGTGTGAAGACGTGGTCTATACAGCCACGTCCAGGTCGAAAACCAGACTGGTTTTCTCGAGTCTGTTCTTCACGAGCTTTCGTTAAGCGTCGAAGTATTATTGAGGCTAATATTTTAGATACTATATTAGTTAAACATATTCCTCTGTGATTGTCACAAGAAGACTTGTGTCCTTTCTTATAGATTGGGACAATCAAGGATTGAGACCAGTCGGATGGGACTACGTCCAGTTCCCAGATTCTACCTAAGATCTCAGTCAACCTAGCTGCTAAAACTGGACCACCATCCTTAAATATCTCAGGGGTCAGTCTATCAGGACCCGCAGCTCGCCCTCGCTTAAGATTTACTAACGCTTTCTCAACTTCATCAACACTAGGGGGACTTACGTCGATTTGCCATTCAGAATGACTGGAGATCGCAGGTAACCGAAGAGTGGCTCAAGGCCAGTTAAACTGATCCCTAAAGTGTTCTGCAAATCGATCCAGTCTCCTGGATTGAGAATAAATAATAAACCCATCCTTTTCCGAGATAGTCTCACTTACACTAGGATTCCTAATACTAGTTTCCTTGATAAGTCGGAAAAGTTGTCTAGTGTTCCCTATTGCCGCTGCCTTTTCCATCTCCCTCGCGTTCTCCACCTACCACTGTTCTCGATCATTGCGTAGGCTTTTTGTCAGCCTACGTTTAAGCTGATTCCGCTCCTCATCGCCCTCAGAGCCAGGCGGGATGAGTTTCCGAGAATCCATCAGTTCGGTAGATGCTATTGAGATCCACGGCTTCATCCTAGCCTTATGATTTACCTTACTAGCAGATATCACTGCTGTTTCCACAGCCTTTTTGATATCATACCAACCTGCTTCTGGATTGGACTCGCTTGCATGGTTGCTTAACTCTCTTTCTAGTTGCTCCTGAAATATTTTCTTAGTTTAATTATCATTAGGTAAAACCCTAAGAGGCTTCCTTACGGTGTTTTTCCTACGCCCAGTAAGACTCAAACAGATACGAGCTCGCACTAGAGCATGATCTGAATCTAAACATGTGCCCCACAACGAGCGACAGTCCTCTATCGAACCCCTCCATCGGTGGCTGATGGCGATGTGGTCTACTTGAGTCCAACGTTGAGACGACTTCGGGGGTCTCCAGGTCAAAAGATGCTTTATTAGTCAAACTGATTTTTCTATGATTGTCACTAGAGAACTTTTGTCGTTTCTTATAAAATTGGGACAGTTAGCGATTGAGAACAGTCACATGGGATTAGTATATAAAGTGTTAGCTCTGTTCTTGTTTAAAGTGCCTTACCGCCTGAGACCGAAATCCGGGAGGTAACGTGAGGTGTGACATTTTTGGGTCGACCTTCTCTAACCCCTACCTCTGTTGTGAGAAGGCAGCATCACTGCAGATGCTGATTGTCCGACGGAAACGCCTTACTGCTATCACACCGATCTACAGTCAGCAAAATCACTTCACCCTCAGACCTTGAGTAGCTGCTTTTAGTCTCATCGTCCTCCAGTCAACCTGCCTGGCATCGTAGAACCTACAGGAACATATGTTCCAGCCAATATAGGTTGGTTAGGTCATCACGATAGGCCACCACGACAAAGTGGCAGCTATGTTAGGGATAGAATATAAGTCAGATAATTAAGTCGAATGCAAGAAGTTTCTAGAGTAGCGACTAATCTTGTACGTATGCTTATATTCAACAAGAAACGGTGATTTAAATCCGACACCTAACTGATAAACATAACTATAGTCTATAAAATTGTACTGGGTTTCAAATCACAAATTTCATGTTATTTCATGGAATAAACTGGCAACAATATTCGACAAAAATAGAGATAAGAAAGCTCAAAATACTCACCTTGGAGAATTCTTGCTCTCTGGGTTATCTTGGTTATCAGAAACAGAACATGTAACAGTTATTGGAGTTTGCTGAACCTGACAAACTGGCATATGTTTATCAAACTGATCCAGTAAAACGGGGTTATTGGAAACCGTATTAAGACACTGCTGGGCATATGCTAAGCGAAAAATCTCTCCCATTATAGTATTTAGTTCCTCGGCCTACAAATATTCAGAGGTATTTATTAGAAAGTGTTAACAAACTTTATAAAAAACACAGAAAGAGAAAAAACACGCCACAAGATAAAAAAAACTATATTATACAGGACAAAAATACCAATAACCTATTACGCGAAGTGAAACAGATATCAAGCGCAAAAATTAATTAGCAGGAATACGAACATTTTTATCAGACGAAATGTCATCAAGTAATTGGTTTATATATATATATATATATATATATATATATATATATATATATATTCATGTATATATATGTATATATACTCTTCCAGGGTAGAAGGTCGCTTGTGCGCCGTCCGCCTAAACGGGACAGTATGGACTCGTAAAGATAGGGACGCTCGCCGTTGCCTCTTCGTCGTCGCTGTCTACGCTCCCACTGACTGCAGCTCTGACAAGGTACAATATGAGTTTTACGGAAACCTTTCGGACCTCCTCCAAAATGTTAGGCGCTCTAATGTAGTAATAGTGACTGATGACTTCAATGCCCAAGTAGGTAAACCAAGTTAAAAAAAAAAGACATCTGGGCGGATCTTATGGCGTCAAAGCTCAAAGAACAGATAATGGCGACTGTCTGCTGCAACCATGACCAGATAACTGTCTATCCCTAGCAAATACTAACTTTAAGCACAAGGAAAATCATCTTTCGACATGGAAACCCACAAAGTCGTCCCAACGTTGGACACAACTAGATCACATCGCTATCAACCACCGATGGAGAGGCTGGATAGAAGACTGTTGCTTATTCTTGAGCACGTGTTTAGATTCAGATCATGCTCTAGAACGAGCGCGTATTTGTCTGTGTCTTACTGGATGTAGGAAAGATATGGCAAGGAAAGCTCTTAGGGTTCTACTTAATGATAGCATAGCTAAAAATATATTTCCGGAGCAACTAGAAAAACAGTTAGGCGGCAATGTGAGTGATTCCCATCCGGAAGCAGCTTGAAATGATATCAAAAAGGCTGTGAAAACAGCAGTGATATCTGCTAGAAAGGTAAACCAAAAGGTTCTTGTAAAGGTGTGAATCTCAGTAGCATCTACCGAACTGATAGTTGCTCGGGAACTCGTCACATCTGGCTGTGAAAATGATGAAGAGCAAAGTCAGTGTAAGCGCAGGCTAGTAAGAAGCCTACGCAATGATCGCCAACAGTGGTTGGCAGCGAAAGCAAAAGCAATGGAAAAGGCAGCGGCAATAGGCAACAGCAGGCAACTGTCCCTCCTTGTCAAGGAAACGGGTACTAGGAATACATCTGTTGGCGAAACTATCTCAGAAAAGAATGGGCTTATTATCCATTCCAAATCCAGGAGATTGAATCAATCGGCCGATCACTTCAGAGACCAATTCGACTGGTCTTCAGCCACACTCCGGTCAACCACGATCTCCAGTAATCTGCACAGAGAGTTGATGTGAGTTCTCCAACTATTAATACAGTTGAAAGAGACTACAGGTAATCTGAAGCAAGGGAGAGCCCGACAGGCTTACCCGTGAGATTTTTAAGGATATTGGTCCAGTTTTAGCAGCTAGATTGACTGAGATCTTAGGAAGAATCTGGGAACTGAGCGTAATACCATCTGACTGGTCTCAATCGCTAACTGTCCAAATTTATAAGCAAGAACAAAAGTCCTCTTGTGACAATCACAGCTGCTACCTTGACGTGGTGGTCGGGCTTGCCTATCGTGATGACCCAACCGAGCTATACTGGCTGGAACATATGTTCCTGCAGGTCCTACCATGCCAGGCTGGTCGATTGGAGAACGATGAGACTAAAAGCAGCTACCCAAGGTCTGAGGGCGAAGTCGTACTGCTGACTGCAGAGGGGTGTGACAGCAGTAACGTGTTTCCCTCGGACAACCAGCATCTGCAGCGATGCTGCCTTCTCACAAGGAAGGAAGGGTTAGAAAAGGTCGGCCCTAAAAATGTCACACTCCCCCTAACTCACGGATTTCCGTCTCCTGGGTAAGGGTGCCCACTAAGGGCCTTT